AAGGCAAAAATGACTATCGCAATGCGAAATGAAAATCGCAATGCGAAATGAAAATCGCAACGAGAGAATCGCAATGCGGAAATGAAAATCGCAATGCGTTTATAATTTCGCATTGCGATTATCTCGTTGCGATTTTCATTTCGCATTGCGATTTTCATTTCGCATTGCGATTCTTTCGTTGCGATTTTCATTTCGCATTGCGATTTTCATTTCGCATTGCGATTTTAATTTCGCATTGCGATTATGTCGTTGCGATTTTCATTTCGCATTGCGATTTTCATTTCGCATTGCGATTTTTATTTCGCATTGCGATTCTCTCGTTGCGATTTTCATTTCGCATTGCGATTTTCATTTCGCATTGCGATTCTCTCGTTGCGATTTTCATTTCCGCATTGCGATTTTCATGTTGGGATTTTCATTTCGCGTTGCGATTGTATTTTCCGTGTTGCGATAGTCAAATGCATGCCTAATAGTGATAACAACTGAATAACAAGAGTTGGTTAAGTCAAAATGGTTGGCCTGAGTCATTAATTCAACTGAAAATGTTAAAAGTTCACACATAAAATCCACATAATACAACGTTTGCATTTAAAAATCACCTAAGTTAACAGTCTCAAAAGGTGAAGCCAATCGTGATTGGGATTTTAAAGATGATTGCCTTTTGCTTGACACCATATGAGCTTTGGATTTTGATGAGGATCCATATTTTGGTAGAGGAAAAGATGATTTTGATGGCACTGGTGATCCACATGTCAACCTTGTATGACCACTTTCCTTGCACCGACTACATGTCGATCTCTTCTTCTCTTCACCCTTAGACGGTATACGATCGTGACTTTTTGGTCGGCCAGGTAGCCTTCTGTCCATGGCTGGTGGCAAAACTGTTTGTAAGTCATCTGGTATGTCCCACTCAGAAGGATGTGGAATAGGGTAGACAATCTCGGCATAAGTCTGTCGATAAACTTCTGTAGTGTAGCAATCCATAGCGTATGCGCTTGAATCATCTTGGTTTAAATGAAGAGCAACTTTTATAACATGGCCACACGGATAACCAGATGTTTGCCATTTCATACAACTACACGTCTTTGCATTTAGATCGACTAGCCCATTTAAGTTATTATCCAGTACTTGAAACAAAGTGTTTGAACATGGTTCAACTCTCCATGACGTTGACTTCACAACACGTTTCGTTATCTTTTTTTCAGTCCATGGTGTAACACGATGTTCCAATGTTCCTGTAAATTTAAATAAACAATACTTAGTAAAATATATAAATATGATAAGTTACGAATTCAAAGAAATAATACCTGCATGGTTTCTTTTCTTGTAGTACCACTGTTGAATAGAGGCTCGAAAAAACTCCATTAACATAGTAATGGGTAATTTCCGGGAATGACGACTTAGAGCGTTGATTGATTCTGCACTATTAGACGTCATGAAACCATATCTTGCTCCAAGTTGATGTACTCTTGACCATCTTTCAAACCCGACATCTTCTAGTGTTTGAGCACACTGAGGCAAAACACGTCTTAAACAATTTATATGCTTATTAAAATCCACTTCCCGATAAGCTTTTACAGCCTTCCAGTATGTCCATTTGTGCTTTTTTATACCAGCAGACCTTGATTTTAGATTTCTATACAAATGAACACCACAAAGTCCATGAAAAGCATCTGGGAAACACCTTCTAACAGCGTTGTCAATTGAGTTTGCCCTATCGGATATGATTGTCAGATTGCTAATAGGACCTATGCAATCCCTAAGATGCCCCATAAACCATGTCCATGAATCAGAGGTTTCAGATTTGCCAACCCCGTAAGCTATTGGCAATATCCCATTGTTAGCATCCATGGCTACTGCTAATAAGTTTACTCCAAGGTATCGACCTTTCAAATGTGCTCCGTCAACTATAATAACTGGGCGCATGCAAGTAATAAACGAACGAATCTACAAAATAATATACACAAGAAATATAATCATTTAAATGTGAAATGCATGTAACTAACAAAAATGAGTCAACAAAATTATATTGATTTACTAACCGTAGCACCAATGGCGATAAACAGCAACTCAAAGCGTCCATCTCTATCTGTTTTGATATGAGTTACCGACCCAGGATTTTTCAGCTTTAAATTGTGACAATAAGCCGGCAGTTGGGCAAACGATGCTTCTGGCGACCCCCTCAACAATTCCAAGGCATAACATTTGGCTCTCCAAGCTTGAGAATATGATATACTAATCTTGAACCGAGCATTCATGTCAGTCATAATTTCATGTCCCCGATATACCCTGCCATTCAAAAACATTAACTCAGCCAGAAAACCACCCAACACCTTTTTGTTTGCCTGTCTATGGTGAGGAAAAACTTGGGTTCTTGAACATGTATGTTTATCAATAAAAGTCCTAACTTGAAACATTTTGCAATCTTTTATTCTCTTTGCAATCATACGCCACGTACAGTTTTTGTCAATCATACACCTTGTTTCGAAACGATCTTTGCTTGATTTGTTAACTTTTAGTTGATAGCCATCTTCCACACATTTCGTATATAAAGCTATCTTCAAGTCTTCCTTTGTATCAAAACAATCATCTTTCTTGATACGAATAACTTTTGTGTAACAATCAACTGCTTTCTTTATCAACTCTTCTTCCGGTATCTGAAGTAATTCTGGCATATTCCAGTTATACGCCCGTGGCATTTTCTTTTCTTCGGGGACTTTTTCTTCTTCTTTTTCTTCTTCAGGATTATATGAATTACAGAATGGATGTTCAACATGTTCGTTCACAGTCGTAACTTCCTCCTCAATATCATCAACATTACATTCTTCGGCAACGGCTGTTTCATCATCAAAATTCGGGTATTGACCAATATCAATATCATTACACGCATGGTCTGTTTATTCTTCTGAAACATCATCAAAATCTGTGTATTGACCAATATCAAAGTCCGGATATTGACCAAGACCAAATTTCGAATACTGACTAGTACTCACAATTTTTTCTGTTGGCTCATCATCGTCTAACTGGTCAATACGAAAACCGGAATTTGGTGCTGAAAGTTGATTGGGATTTGGATTAGAGAAAGGTTGTGGGTTTTGAGAAAAACTTAGTTGATTACTACCCGCTACTGACCCAACAATACTACTTCTAGGTTCAACAACATACAATGTAACATCATCTTGTGAAACACTAATGTAAGCAATGAATCGTTCAACATCTTCATTGTCGGTTAACAAATAAACTTTACCATTTCTCTGATAAGATAGCCTAAATCCACTTAGGGGCTCTAAATTCAATTTATTTGAAACACGTAGCATTAGAGTTTCATAAGTTAACTTTTGTAAAGACAATTTTAGTTGAAGATTCATGGGTAAAGGCATATATTGTAAAACACCATGAACATTATCCCATGACCCTCCAAAACACAAATCTATCCAAACATGATCAACATTAGATGATTTCATGGTTGTAAATTAATTTACTAAACAGACGAGCTGCGAAACTAAAACCTGTTGCCGGATTGGGAAGGATGTCGTTGGATATAGGAACGGATGTCGCCGAGAGAGTGATAGATGGAGATGGAATGAGTTGCGATTTAGGGATTTAGTTTATGATTTCAGTGTTATATACCCAAAATTTCAGTGTTGTGATTTACAGATTCTCGTTGCGATTTACGGATTATCGTTGCAATTTACAGATTCTCGTTGCGATTTACGGATTATCGTTGCGATTTACGGATACGCGTTGCGATTTACGGATTATCGTTGCGATTTACGGATACGCGTTGCGATTTACGGATACGCATTGCGATTTACGGATACGCGTTGCGATTTACGGATACACGTTGCGGTTTACGGATACGCGTTGCGATTTACGGATACGCGTTGCGATATACGGATACGCATTGCGATTTACCCATACGCGTTGCGATTTACGGATACACGTTGCGATTTACGGATACGCGTTGCGATTTATGTGTTCGCGTTGCGATTTTCATATTCGCGTTGCGATTATGTAAAATCGCAATGCGAATTTGTACTATCGCATCGCGATTTTCAAGAATCGCGTTGCGATTTTGGAAACTGATTTGCGATTCTGGAAATTGATTTGCGATTCTGGGGATCGCGTTGCGATTTTTATTTCGCGTTGCGAATTTGTTGGTCATTTTGGCAAATCCAAAAAAAGTTGGTTAAAATCGTATATTATAACTTTTTTTTGGTCACTGAGGCGATTTTCTCTATTTTTTATGCTTAGACAATACGTATTAGTTATTCATAAACATTAACCTGTGGTAGTTTCCTCAACGATGATTAAATATTCAGCTGATTCGGAACAAAATGAATTATGCTCATAGAGTACATTATTTAATAGATGATGCCCATAGTTTCCTCAACGATGAATAAATATTCAGCGGATTGTAGTAATGCCTTGGAATGGTTAAAAAAATCCTGGCTCTTGTCCTGCCTCATTTGAGTGTATAGTGAAGGATATTGTTTCTATTGTGTTGGATCGTAATGTGATTTTAAGGCACATCCAGAGGAGGAGTGCCAACTGGGAGGAGGATAAGCTAGCAAAATTAGGCATTGATTAACTTGTTTCTCTCTTGTATTGTGGATTTGTGTTTGTGTTTGGTTATTTATGTTTGGCTTGGTGTTTGTCCCTAGCTAGGTTATGTCTCTTTCTTGTACTGATTATGATTTTCTAATAAAATTTTTAGGCACTCTTTTTCTCCTTCCAATGTTCGTTGAAATACGGTATTATATTTTGACGGATATGAAGGGAGTTTTAATGAGACCTCCCATTCTTATCAAAAAATAAAAAATAAAAATAGATGCATGTATATGTTGTTTGTATTTCTGATTCACGGAGTTCAAGCATCTGTTCTGTACTGTGTCATTTCTCTTACCTATCAAAGAGTAGAAAACATAAATCCAACTAAGCATTGACTAGAAAAAGTAAACTTTTCTTGGAGTAACAGCTTATTTTGTTTGCATCTACAGGTGCACATTCGCACCCTGAGAGTAAGAATATTGGAGACTATTTTAAGTCTGAGATTTTTCATCTTCCAGTATGGCATTGTCTACAAGCTAGACGTGCAAGGAACAAATACTTCATTGACGGTAACAGTTATACTCGTTATTTGATTGTTGATGTTTTTATTGGCCACTTTGTGCAGTAAATTTTCTTGAACCGTTCCTCTCCATTGTCATTTCTGTGAGATCAGTCTCAGAGAACTTTAAATTCTTTGTATTTTCTACATTGGAAGGCACAAGATGTGCCCTTGGCAATGAAGTCATGGTCGGTGTACTTTTCATATCTGTATCTGTTCCTTATTTATGGTTTCGGGAGGGTTTATCGTGAATTAAATGCTTGAGTGTGAAGAAAAGACCTGAACATTTGAGCCATCGAAGAATATAGAGGATTAATTAGTTTATGTAACTTGAATTTCCTGTATCTCTGTAGATTTACGGCTTTTCCCGGATCGTACTTGCTGTTCTTATACTCCTCTTCAAGGTTTGTGATATATATTCACACACGTACAATTGTACTTTATAATCGGTACTAAAATAATTGAAATAAAAACAATTGAAAATTTAAGTATTAAAACGAATGAAACTAAATGCATAATTTACCCTTACTTTTATTACACGATATTTCAATATATATATATATATATATATATATATAAAATTTATCTATTTTGAAATGGATAATATCCATTCACCTTTTAATTACAATTTTCAATTTCGATGCTGACGTGGAGGGAGATACGGGCCCCACCGCAACCACAAAGCCCCGAATTCCATTCGTATATATCAATCAATTATTCGACTTTGAAAGTCGGCTGTTGGTCTCCGCCTCCTCCCCGTTTGCATGTTTCCTTTGAATTTTCTCTCCTGAAATTTCCCCTAAATACCGAACCCTAAACCCTTGATTTGCTTCGAAATTTCTTCCCCGTGTCTGGATCCTCTCTTATAATTCCGAAATTTGCTTCGTCCTTTCGATTTCTTGTTTCTTCACGAAACAGGAAATTAAACTTCCCCCTTTTTTATTTTTTAATTTCTTCCATGGCTGGCATGGTAGGAGAAAGCATACAATGATTGAATTATTGTTGTTCCTTTTCAATTGTATGGAGTTTACGAAATGCCTGAGCTTCGAAGAGGAGTCTGTAGACGCCGCACGACATTAGCCGAGAAGCAACCGCAACAAGAGCCAAAGCAGACTAGGCCGAGGAATCAAGGTCGTAAACGTGCGGTTGCGGCCGCCGAGGTTGGTAGGCCGAGGACTAGGTTGGCGGTGAAAAGACTGAAGGAGGAAAATCAACTTCAGGTGGTAGTAGCTGCGAACGGTGGAGAGGATCAGGTGATTTTGATTTCTGAGAGGGATAGAGAAATCGAGAGGGAGGAGTTAGTAAAAGTTGATAGAGGAAAGGAAGTTGGGATGGGAGACGAAAGCGGTGGGCTGAGTGCTAACAAGGCTCCTGGACAGGAAGAGGAGGGAAGTACTGCACCTTTTCCTGAGAGAGTATGCTTGTTCTTTTGGCTTGCACTTTATTTAATTTTTGTTTTCTGAACTGCGCTTTTAAGTTTTGTGCTTATTCGATACTTTCTTGCTGATAGTTGTTCTTGTTATGGTTCCAAGCTACTATGTTTTCAATATAGCAGTCAGCGTGTTAGAAAGAAGGAAAATGAAGGAAAAGAAAAGGGAATTGACATGTTTTTTACTTCTTCATTTTGGTACAATAGATGGAAAATGGGCGGATGGGGGAAATTGAGTAAACTTGTAAATGATGGTGATTAATTTTAGTTTAATAAATGTTATCCTCCCATTTATGGACGGGTTGATTTTTGAGGGAATTAGGGAATGTTGAAGATCTACCCATTTTAATTCTTTCTCTTAATTTCTGTCTTGTCAAATGTTTAGTGCTTAGAACTGAGTGAGTGAAATTTTCTTTCCCTTCTATTCTCTTTCTGGTAATTTTTGTTTCGGACCGGTGCCATATAAACTTTTAGTCAGCTCGGATAATTGGATTTATTTTCCTTTTTTAACTTCACAAGGTTCAAGTTGGGGGATCTCCTATGTACAAAATAGAGAGAAAACTCGGTAAAGGTGGATTTGGTCAGGTGTTTGTTGGACGGCGTGTTAGTGGTGGAAATGAACGTGCAACTGGATCTGCAGCCATGGAGGTAAATCATCTTCAACTGCCTTAAGCCTATAAAAAGTTTGTTATGATCCTATTTCTTTTTATTTATATTTGTTCTGTTACAATTTTTGTGTTATTTTTAGGTAGCTCTGAAATTCGAGCATAGAAACAGCAAAGGATGTAATTATGGTCCACCATATGAATGGCAAGTTTACAAGTAGGTGGCTCTACCGTGTTTCTAGTTTTTACTCTTAAACATTTCTAAATCACGACTGTCTGACGGAGCATGTTGAGCTTGTGGTGAACAGTTCTCTCGGTGGCAGTCATGGAGTTCCCAAAGTACATTACAAAGGAAAGCAAGGAGACTATTATGTGATGGTATGATCTGGAGCTTGTCTGGTATTTGTGCATCTATCCCAAATCCATGCTTGACTTCTACTTTCACTTTCAGGTTATGGACATATTAGGGCCCAGCTTATGGGATGTTTGGAATTCTTCAGGGCAAGCGTGAGTGACATGTCTTATTTACCTTGTTAGCCCTCTCCCATCCCTGCCCCTGCCTCCTTTTTTCATCATTTACTTATATAGAAATGACAGACAACAATTGTATACATGCTTTGCCCATCAGAGAGCTCGAAGAAACAAAAATACTCCCCTGTTGTTTACTATTTTATTTTTCGACTAGAAAAATTGCTCCTTCGACGTTTACCATTTTAGTTTTCCACTAGAAATTGTATAGAAGCTTTTTTCCAATAGTATCATGTTTTTTGGAATTTTTGCCACCTCGTAATCCTTTTTATAAACGTTGTGACTGATAGATTATTAAATGGGGCAAGCCACTAATCTTGTATTTAAAATTTTTGTTCTTAATTTCACATGCAGGATGTCTGCAGAAATGGTAGCTTGTATAGCAGTTGAGTCCCTATCAATACTAGAGAAGACGCACTCCAAAGGGTTGGTGATTTTAATTATTTTTATTATGAATACTAGTTTTCATGCTAGATCTATAAATTTATGATTTTAATTTTCAACCTTTCCTTTATTATTGATCCTCTCTATGTAATACCAGTTATGTGCATGGGGATGTTAAGCCGGAGAACTTTCTACTTGGTCAGCCATCTACACCACAAGAGAAGAAATTGTTTCTTGTCGACCTTGGACTAGGTGAGTAAATTTCATTTTATCCCTACAGAATCTCTTTTAATTTTCATTTTAGATTATTTTCTTATGTTTTGTGTACAACATGACATCACAGCAACAAAGTGGAGAGATAGCAGCAGTGGGCTGCATGTTGATTATGATCAACGTCCTGATATGTTTAGGTGTGTATAATTTTTTGTCTGGTTGGGGACTTGTTTATAATAAACTATTTTGCTGAAATATTCTGTTCTCTAATTTTGGTATTCACCAGAGGAACTGTTCGATATGCAAGTGTCCATGCGCATTTAGGAAGAACTGCCAGCAGAAGAGATGATCTTGAGTCTCTTGCGTATACTCTCATATTCCTCCATCGAGGTCGATTACCATGGCAGGGCTATCAGGTATGGCTGATATAATCATCACGGTGAATTGTCTATCCAAAACATTTTAGTCCTCAACTTCTATAATCTATATTGTTTGCTCATTATTTCTTTGACATTCTAAATCAAGGGTGACAACAAATCGTTCTTAGTCTGCAAAAAGAAAATGGCTACGTCCCCTGAAATGCTTTGCTGCTTCTGTCCTCCACCTCTAAAACAATTTCTTGAAACTGTGGTGAATATGAAATTTGACGAGGAGCCCAACTACTCCAAACTAATATCCTTATTTGAGGGCTTGATAGGACCAAATCCAGCTATAAGGCCAATAAATACCGATGGTGCTCAAAAGGTATATACTTGCACTAGACTACTAGTATTTACTGTCGTACATGTTGCTTGTGATACTTTTATTTATAAGAAAACAATAACCATATAGAATACTGATATTTAAACTCCTTTTGTCAATGCATAAAACTAGGTTGCATGCAAAATATATATAAAAATAAAAATAATAATTTAATTTGGAGAGGTGAAGTTAAATGTATTCGATGTAAATTCGTATTCATGCTAGGGGGTTAAAAGATCTTGGGGGGAAGGGGGCCAATGTTTCCCGTGCTATCACTATCATCTGCATTGAAGACTTTCTTTCAAAGGAATCTGTAACAGATAAATAATAATCATGAATGTTTGGTAGATTATTTATCAAATAGGCCAAAAGCGAGGTAGGTTGAATACGGATGAAGAAGATGATCAACCCAAGAAGAAGGTTCGTCTTGGCGTTCCTGCTACACAGTGGATTTCAGTCTACAATGCAAGACCTCCAATGAAGCAGAGGTATTTTTGGAGTAGTTTCCGTTTTCATTGCCCCCTTTTTTTTACTGTACGCATTTGATTTATCAATTTAACTGTTTGTTATCATGCAATTAGGTATCATTACAATGTGGCTGATGCAAGGTTGGCTCAACATGTGGAGAAAGGAGTTGCAGATGGTCTGCTAATAAGCTGTGTGGCATCTTGTACCAATCTTTGGGCATTAATTACGGATGCTGGGACTGGTTTTACAAGCCAAATTTATGAGCTTTCACCTTCCTTCTTACACAAGGTTACCTCCTATTGCATATTGCTATGATTTCCGTGTCATTTTTTTATTTTTTGTATAACAGTAAAATATTTATGTTAAGGGTGTGTCTTATGCTATGATTTCCGTGTCATTTTTTTTATTTATTTTTTGTATTATCAGTAAAATATTTATGTTAAGGGTGTGTCTTACTCTTTTGCATATACAGGAATGGATCATGGATCAGTGGGAGAAAAACTATTATATTAGTTCTATTGCTGGTTCAAACGGTGGAAGTTCCCTTGTTGTTATGTCCAAAGGTCAGTTCATATTCTGATTTGTCTAAATTGTCTGATGAAATTTTGGTTTGAATGTTAAATAAACGCTAAAATAAAACTCTTAAGATGGATTGGGGTGGGGAATAGAGTATGTTGAAGATTTAGTTGATGGTGACGTCTTTTCTTTGACATAGATACTCCTTCCTGGTTTATTCTGATATATTTTTCAGCAATTCAAGCATCAACATGGGAACAACTCTCTCAATCATGTTTTTGTTTCTTCTTCTCACTTTTCTCCTAGGATTCAAATCGTATAATTATAGGCGTTGCCAGAAATTGAGGGAATCAACTAGATGAGAACTGATTTAATCTATATGGCCCCCTTTCTCATAACAAGGGTAGATAAAAAGATTCATCTTGATGCAAGAAACTGATACATTCCATAACTTATCTCAAAATCATTTTACAGAAATGAAGATGGGTTTCTTGTATCAAAGTTTGTACTTCTAGAGGCCTTATAATATTTAAGCAAACCACTTTTTATGTTTTTCTATTTACTTCAATGGCTGAGGGTTTCTCAATCATGATAATCTCTTCAGGTACCCAATACACCCAACAATCTTATAAAGTAAGCGAATCTTTCCCCTTCAAGTGGATAAACAAAAAGTGGAGAGAGGGCTTTTTTGTCACCTCAATGACTACTGCTGGGAGCCGGTGGGGTGTTGTTATGTCTCGTAATGCAGGCTTCAGTGACCAGGTTTAATCCCAGTTGCACTCTTTTGAGTTTTCTTCTTCCTTTCTCATCTTTGTTATTAACTATTGTCAACCGGTTTTTTAGGTTGTGGAACTTGATTTCCTCTATCCAAGTGAAGGAATACACAGGCGTTGGGATAATGGTTATAGAATCACATCGACAGCTGCAACTTCGGATCAAGCTGCTCTAATCTTGAGCATTCCTAAGCGCAAACCTGGCGACGAAACCCAAGAGACTTTACGCACATCTCAATTTCCCAGCACACATGTTAAGGTAATGCTCTCTTTTGCTTCATATATCGTATACTCCATGCACATAATACTGGCTTACCATCTACCAGTTTGAGAAGTTGATACGCTTTTTAGGGCAATGCAAAGTTACATTTTATTCTCGTGAAATTTGTTGTTATGTATCCCAACGGATGTAGGCAGGGAGGCGTGGGTCAAATTTTTGGCCGCCCACGTTTGGCAAGATAGAGAGCTAATTGAATAAGAATATATATATAAAGGGACATTATAATAATTATCTCTAAATATATTATCTGGGTTGGGTTGAAGATCTTTTACCTCCAACCCGACTCTCTCATTCTCAAAACTGGCCCGACCTGCCCCCGAATCGGAATTTCAAAGAAAAGAATCTGATCCTATGAGATCGGATTAGGGTATTTTGTCAATCCCATATGTATGCATATTCTCATGTGGATTTTGTTATAATGTGTAGGAAAAATGGGCAAAAAATCTCTATCTTGCATGTCTATGCTATGGAAGGACTGTATCATGAAATCGAGATATCAGCGCTGTCGGTTTTCTTCCCTTCTCTGTTCTCTTTTGACATTTCCTTGTATTGCAATTCAGTCCCTCTAATTTAGTTTTTGTATTTTGAAATACAAGTGTTAACACCCTGTACTAGTACCAGTTGCTGTTAAATGTGATGATGTGTTGTAATATATATATATATATATTGGTACAATCAAAGCTAAGGGTCTTTCAGGAAATGTACTCGACCTTGAAATGCAAATCTCATAATATCCAACTAGTGTATGTTTTTCACACAAAAAATATATACGATTGGTCTACCAAATACGAACAAATCTGCATACGTGCATGTCTGCTACTTCAAACGATGCATGTTAAAATATGTAAAGATGCGTCAGTTTTCTCTCGTCTTGTCTTGTCACGTAAAATTGGGGATATAAAATATATAATCGGATTCTTTTTTCTCATAAAGGAGGATTTGAAAAAAAGAAAGAAATCTCTTCTCCTCCCTCTTTTATTTGGTCCATGAACACATGATTTTATGTGGAGTGTGAACTTGAATTTAGGATCTTGAATTTGAGATCATACTTGAATTTATAAAATTTTAATAGAGTGAAAACATATTTTCGTTAAAAAATGTATAGAAAAAATCTAAAATTTATAGTAATTTAAAATTTTAGGGTGACGATTGCCTTGAGGTTCATTCTTGATTTGGTCTATCTATTTTTATCTATAAGAGAAATTTCTACAATCTATCATAAGAATGTATTTCTTTATTCATATTAAAAGAGGTAAATAATAACTAATCGATCAACCGTTAAACAATTTTAAACTAATATCATTGTGTATTAACAACGCTTATATATTTTAAATTTAAAAAAATAACTTAATCTTCGAAAATATTTAATTTTATATGAAATTTTTTAACTTTATCATATTGGTATCATAAAGACTACTTTTTTAAATAATTTGAAACATATTAAATATTTAAATATTTTTTTTGTACTGTACTAATAACAAAGTTAATGAAATTGAACTCGACAAATATAGTTAAGAATATTGTTATATGGTAGCATTCAGAAGAAAAAGATATGGCCATTAGTAGGAAATGCAATTATTAAGACAAGATCACATTACAACAATAAAGGAAATGGTCAAAGATTCAATGATGCAACACATAATAATTATACTCCACAACCGCATCCCCCGTCTTCATGTTAAATGTATGAGTTATTGCCTGAACATAGCCTCTGGCGAACCGGAACAGTCCGCTGCCTCCGATCACCGGCATCTCTCTCACCTTGTTGAAAACCGCATTCCTCCCGAGCACCGTAATCGTGCTGCCGTTGTATTTCCCTTCCGTGAAAGCGAAGTTCATTGACATCAATAGTCCTATTTCTTCTTGCGATGAGAGTGCGTAGAACCCTTGTGCCCTCCCTACCGGTTTCGACCTTAACTCGGGCCCTAGTCGATCACGTTGATCGTTCCGAAGCCCGTCTTCAACGTGTTCGAAGATCGAACCACTGAGATGGATGTAGCGTTATTACCGCTCAAGATGTCGTGCCAATAAATACGGAAATGGCTTAACTTTTCTTTCTTTAAGTTCAACAACTTCGGGTCGAGGCTTCTCACAAAACTGTGATCGTCATTACGGTCGTCTCGGGCGCATCGGACGACGCCCGATGAAAACAAAATGAAGAACAGAGTAAGAAGAATTCGTACCATCTTCTGCTCTGTCCTATGGTTTTGGCACAAGAGCTTGCCGATGACCGATACAAGAGACTTGGTATTTACTATAATGGCTCAGGGCAGTAGGTATAACTAAAACACTATCAAGAGAATAAAAAAAATAACAACTTTAGAGGAATTAAGGATCAAATACCGATGGACGTATCGTTTTTGTTCCAATATTGGTACATTGTTTTAGATTTTTCTAATATTTTTAGAATATTTATATTATATATATAAATGGATTACGATCCACCTACATAATGTGAAAATCCTTAATCTTACACAGATTTAGGAGCGTTGAGTGAAAATATATGACTTAGATTGACTCATTATTTTTTTTCTAGTGAATATTTTCTCATTTCCTACTATTAATCTCAATTATCTATTTTCACTCGTCCAATGCTCTTAAATATATGTAAAACTAAAATATTTTTACATTGTGTAACAGGGTTCACTTACATTATGTAAAACTAATAAGTTTTACACTAAATTATGGTCATTAGGTTTAAATAAACAACCAACTTAGTTTAACTCACGGTAAAACAATATGTTTCTCAGGGTTAGATTTTAGGTTTTAGGATTTAAGTTTTAGTGTTTAAGGTTTAGGATTTAAGATTTATAGTTTAGGTTTTGAATTTGGGGTTTATAGTATAGGGTTTTAGAGTTTTGGGTTTGAGGTTTGAGATTGTGGTAAAAAGTGAGATTGTATTATTGTGGGTTAAAATATATTTATTTATGAGTTATAAATTTTAAATAAATCTAAACTATTTATTTATTGAAATATAGGGTAAACTATGCGAATAATCTCTTATGTATTTTGTCTGACCGATTTTGGTCACCGTTTAAAATTTAAGTGGATTGATTTATTCGATTTTAATCTCTCGATCCGTTAACTCATTAACAAAAAATCTTACGTGACACTTAAAAAAAACAGTCTCCTCCTCCGAAGTCTTATGCGACACTCAAAAAAAAAATCATCATAATAAAGAATAGTTTATGGATTTTAAACTATTCTTTCACGTGACTCTTCGATTAAAAGAGGTGAATCATGATTAATCAATCCGTAAACACTGTTAACCCATTAAATAAGTTTAAACTAATATTTCATTCATTGTACATCAACAACACTCAAATATATTAAATTTAAAAGAAAAAGAAAATATTTAATTTTACATGGAAATTGTTAACTTTGTTATATTTGCATAATAAAGATTACTAAGTTTCGGAATTAAACTCCATAAATATATCTAAGAATACTATTATATGGTGCATTCACAACAAAATGACATGGCCATTAGGTCCCAGTACTAGAAGTAGGGGATGCAATTATTAAGACAATACAACATAACAATAATTAAAGGAAATGGGTAAAGTAAAAGATTCAATAATGCAACACATAACAATTGTACTCCACAACCGCATCCCTCGTCTTCATGTTCAATGTATGAGTTCTTGCCTGAACATAGCCTCTGGCGAACCGGAACAGCCCGCTGCCTCCGATCACCGGCATCTCTCTCACCTTGTTGAAAACCGCATTCCTCCCGAGCACCGTTATCGTGCTACCGTTGTACTTCCCTTCCGTGAAAGCGAAGTTCATCGACATCAATAGTCCTACCTCTTCTTGTGACGAGAGTGTGTAGAACCCTTGTGCCTTCCCCACCGGTTTCGAGCTTAACTCCGGCCCTAACGTCAACGGATCGTCGATCACGTTGATCGTTCCGAACCCCGTCGTCGATTTGTTCGAGGGCGGAACCACAGAGATGGATGTAGCGTTGTTACCGCTCACGATGTCGTGCCAATAGATGCGGAAATGGCTTAGCTTTTCTTCCTTTAAGCTCAACAACTTTGGGTCGAGGCTTCTCACGAAACCGCCGCGATCATCGTCACCGTCGTCTCGGGCGCATCGGATGGGGCCGGAGGAAAACGAAATGAAGAACAAGATGAGAAGAATCCGCCCCATCTTCCACTTTGTTTTAGGGTATTTCCACAAAAGCTTGCTGCCGACAGATATGTACAGATGTTACAGGGAGATTTGGTATTTAATATGATGGCTCAGACCAGTAGGTATAACTTAATTTTTTTTATTAATTTGATATAAGTATAAGATATTATATGTTTAAAGATAATTCTTAATTATTTAAAATTGAACGTTTATACTTCTGATATTTTTTGTACTCGAATCCGAGACCTCAAAGAATAATAATAATTCTTTCACCACTAAGATTACTCGGTTCGTGCCATAAGTATAATAAATACTATTAAAAAAGAAAAAAAAGCTAATCTTAGAGAAATTAATGTATAAATCGGGAAGGATTAAAACGCACTCAAATTTCAATAAAGAAGATTTAATAGTGAGTTTTAATCTATTTGATATCATTATGAAATCGAAACGGCACCAACTACATTACTTAAAAAGGTTTTTTAATCATAGCTGTAATTTTTTGGGGAAGAAAATAAATTTGAATATATTTAGTGACAAATGTTGAAATATAATTGCAAACCAATATTTATTTTAAGTTAATGTGATTATGAAGTAGTATTCGTTTTAAATACTCTCAATCATTTAACAATAAACGCTCAATCATCCTGCTGCAGTCGTTGGTGCTCAAACCCGTGACTTTTAAAAACAACAATAATTCTTTTAACCACTAAGATAAATTAATTCGTGTACTAAGATAAATTAATTCGTGCTTGCAGTGTAATTTACCTTTTTGATGTGGGGGCATTTCTCTTCAAGAGTAGGAGATTACTAATTTAACATTTTAGATACAAATTTGGCTTTAAGGTAAAGCATCACTTCATAATAACATTCTAGGTTTGATGTACTCTATATCTACATATATTTCTTAGGGTAACTTATACTGTTGGTTTCCGTACTATTATAGCTATCTTGTTTTGATCATAGCATTGTTTTTGTGTGTAAGTAATTACTGACATTATCAGTTTATCTACCGTTAAATAAAAAAAAGAAAGAAAATTGATATAATTTGATTATATTTTTTTATGTTAACGTTAATGGTATTTATCTTTCATTGTCGACAGTAATATTTTTTTGTATTCATAAATTTTTTTAGTTGTTTAATTGTGTTTTTAACTTTCTCTTTTTATATATATTAAAAAATAATAAATTTTAATTTGACTTTATTAAAATATCAATTTAATCAAAGTATTACATTAGTAAGAAAAAGTACTATAATTAATACTTCAAAATTCATTTCCTTCTCCTCCTTTAAAAAAATTTAATCATATAAATTTTATTTTGTAACCACTCAAAATTATTAAGAAAAAATCTAACATTGAACCATAGTGATTTTAAACTATGTTCGGTGTCAAGGCAGCCCGCATTGACTGCTTTAGTAGTAATTTTCGCACAACGTCGTAGGCGGCCTAATTTTTAGCCTAATACGATACTAGATATTTTATTTTGAGAATTGTGGTTATTCCTATAGTGATTTAAAAGTCGTCCGTCGTCACATGAATATGATGAATTTGAATAAAATATAAATTTTTTAAAAAAATTATCACTCTAGTTTGATAAATTCTAATAAAAAAATTGTGTTTTATTTGAACTAATCACTTCAACGTGATGAGTTCGACTAAAAAAATATTTGTTGACGAGTTTATCTTACACTAGCATTTCCCGTGAATCCCAAATCAATTTTGAAGATGATGTAATGGTTACTCACGTGGCCTTTTGGGCCAAATTTGCCTGCTTTAGCATCACCAGTGGGCCCATATTTGAGTGAGGTTTGAATGGACCAACCGTGGCATCTCCAATTACTTTGTTTTAATCTAAAAATAAATACTCAAAAATTATTCTTATTTTCACGTGATAATCTAAAAGAATGTTCTATAATATGTTGGTGTCTGATTGTATCTAGAATTTGAAAATTACAAGTAAAATCCAAATCCAAATCAAACACCGCAAGAACATAAATTAACTTTTTTGAAATAAAATTCATGTGAGCAATGGATAGAGAAGAATCGGCAACGCGGAGGCTGAACCGTGATGTATATTTTGACCAAATTCTATGAATTATCCAACTCTAGAAATATTTTGACTTCAGCTTTTCGTTTTGGACTATTAAGTTTAGATTTATCATATAATTTCTATAATAAATGTCAACGAGATTTATCCTACATCATATTCATCGTCATCAATAGTCACTTTACGTCAGGGATTAAAAATGGCTATTAAATTTAAATTCGATAGATTTTGATCTTTTTCGATCTTATAAGGTCAATTTTTTGTCGTTGAAAAAATCGATTTTAAATCGATTGGATTGAGTTTTTTTCTTCCCAACAGATGAGGTTAAATTCATGTTTAGAGTAAGAAATCTCTAACATGAAATAATACTATGACTACTTTTTATATATTTAGGGATAATTAGAATTACACATTTCTCTCTCTACTTTTTAAATTGAATCCTTATTTTATCGAATGAAAATGAGAATATATATATATATATATATGTGTGTTCATTCGGATGTGAGTTTTTACTCCAAAAATCTAATCGAATTTCAAATCGGGTGAAGCCTTCCTAACCTTCGGTTGGATCAAATCACAGACAGAAACATGATATTAGTTTAAGGGGACAAAATATAATTAACCATAAAAAATGAGGGAGACAGAATCAAAATATAAACTAAAATTAGAAGGTCTAATTGGATATTTATCCATGTATATTTTTAAATTATAAAAAATAGGGGTAGTGGCCCATAAAGCATAACTTCATCCCTGAATCAGATGACGATGAAAGATATCATACTTTGATTAAATTTGGATCAATTAAAAACTCAATCTAATTCGACTCATGCTCATCTCAACATGGGACTATAAGTTCTAAGTTTTAAGGATAATCCTATAATTTTTCGTCCATCACCAACGAATGAGAGCTCCTCTCTTCGTCCTAGGAAAGAACACATGATTCTATGTTAATGAGACGAACTTCTAAAATTTTAAGAGATGGGTATTTATAAAATTCTAAGAGGACGAAAACATGTCATCAATAAAAAAATATACAGAAAAATATAAAATATATGATAATTTGAAATTTTCAGGAGAACGACAGACGATTTATGTTTCATCCCCAAATTATTTGTTGTTTTTCTTTTCTTTTTTGAGAGTTTCATTTGATTCACCTGTGATATTACACGTTAGTTCAAGGATGAGAAACGACGACATCACCAGTGACTTCAATTCCAATTTCAATTTCTTTCTTATAGATCACTTAATGGATACACCGTGATATTTAATCTTTCTCGTTAAGTTTCAGTTAACTAATTATTTAATACAAAATAAACTACGTTACTTGCATATATCTAATCAAGTATAATAAATACTTTAATATTCAAATATATACATAATTTTAATGCAATGTGTTAATTATTTTTATAATATTAATATCCTGTTTAACATTGATATTAATACATTATTACTTTACTTGCACATGAAATATGTTTACTTTTTTATTATTTATTAAATAATGGTTAAAAAAACATGATTCGCCGCGTTGTCTAAGGGATTTTAAGGATCAATTGATATATCATAAAATGATTTAATTTTATATTTTAATATTCAAAATGCATATTGATTGATTAATTTAAATTAATTATTGTACAAATTTGTTATGAGAACTTTTAAAAGATATATTTGATAGAATGAAATATTGTTTATCTTATATAGGATCACATTACATCAAAACATAGATGGAACAAATACATCAAACATAAGATTTTAAACTATAAAAAATGAATATAGCTCTAATATATATATAATAAAATGCATTTATAAATAAATAATTTTTTTACAAATATATATTTTCCATCATCGTAAATTTTATGAAAATTTAAAAATTTTAAATTGTATTATGTTTGAAAAAATTGTAATAGGTTAATCATATGTTACCCTATAACCGAACCGTTAATAAAAGTTAACCCACCATGAATACTCCTAACTGTAATTAGACTCAATCTGTAAAATATAGATATATGTTCATGCATTGAAGCTAAAACTGATTAATTCATATTTCTATTTAAAGATTAAAAATAGTTCGTATACATTTAATTATAATAATATATTTTATAAAAAAATTATAATGATGTATAAATGCTAATATAAACTATGATTTAATTAATTGTTACTACTTGTTAGGACATCGATTTTAAAATTAATAGAATTAAATTTTAACTCCCAAAATTTATGACGTGATTTTTTTAGGATTTATTAATTTTAAAATTAAATAATGTATCCATAATTCCATCGCGATTTCGTCGTTGCTTAAGGCCTCCACTTACCAAGGCAAACAAATTATCATCAGTAAATATTTTATTATTAAAAGTTTTTTTTAAATTAGTTTTCGCAGAGTCTTATTGATACAAAACGTGAGTCTCATTGAAAAAAAAAATTAAAAGTTATTTTATTAAAAGTTTAATTAATATTTTATATGAATCTATTATGTTCGTAATTTATTTTTTATTCTAAACGCAATTTATGAAAAATAATTAATTTTCTATTATGTCAAAAAGTTAAAAGAGTTGTTTTGCTTTGCTTTTAAAGTTTTGTGGAGGCTTAGAAGGGCATGCAGGGGAACAGCGTGAAGGTGGCTAAGGAAATTGCGTGCAAGCTCAAGCAAATACAAAATACAATCACTACCCGACTTTATATTTCGAAATAGATAAATAAAATTATGTATGGTAAGAATAAGGGTTTGTTCAAGGGGTAAGCAATTTGATATTGTTTAAGCAAAGTCTAAAGTTTGAGTATTTGTGTATGCAAAAAATTCTCGTTGGAAGATTCACCCACAAAACCTTAAAATCGGGAGGGAGAAAATATATACGTATGGTTATACGCAAGAAATTTCTAAGTACGATTTATTTAAAGAAAAATTAAAAGGAAAGCATAGCTATATGATAAATACGAAGACTTTTAGGTCGTGTTTATCACTTTTATATATATTATATATAAAAGAAAAATTTTAAAATAAATATCACATCAAAATATACTAATAATATAAAACATCAATAAATAAATTATCCATATCAAATAAGGATTAGAATTTCTAAGAACCCCATCGCACGATATACACACTCAAATAGATGTGTGTCAAAAATAGTCATTTTCAAGTCCTTTTAATGAAGCGATATGGAAATTTCCTTTTTCTCGACATTTTCAAGCTTCTTGGGTAGTACTTTGTTGAACGTAGAAAATCAAAATCAATTATTCCTTTCAAAATACAGTTGAATCTATAAATTATTTATTTGTGTATATAATCTTTAAATTATATTAGAATAATTTTTTTATCAATTTATTTTTAGGTATTATAAAATTATCATTAAATTTATTGAACTATTACAACCACTCATCGGTCGATTAATCCAAATTCAATATTCACACAATTGAAATTTGAATTCTTGACCTTGTTTAAGAGACGTGGTACCTTGTCTCATGAAACTAATTAGTCTTTTATAATTTATTTCTTTTAATTTGATAGATAAATAAAAAAATTTTAAGTATTACTTCTTAGAAAATATAATAATTAATTCGTAAAAAATGCTCAAGATGATTTTTATACCTTTTTAAAATTATTCATAGTTTCACTAATTTTTTTAACTAATTAAATTTAAAGATTTTTTATATTTAATTATATCGAATATATATGATTTTTAAATTAATGTAAAATGAACTAATACTCAATCAACTCAAGAATAAATTCTTTGAACAATTTTCTACTTTTCCTAATGTGTATTTAATGTGTATAGGGTAAGGTAATCCTACACAGTTAATTTAACGTACCATACAGCTATATTTAGGTGCACTCGTCTAATACATAAGTTTAATTTATTTGACTTTGGGAAATTTTCTTCTTTTTAATTATTTTTCAGTTTTTTAATATATAGAATTAAAAGAAATAGTTATCGATTAGAATTATTTTTTAAGTGCGCAGTTAATTTTTTTTAATAAGTGAATAAAAAATACAACAAAATCAGCATCGTAAAAAGTTTGAAATTTTTAACTAATGGGAGCAATTAGTTCTGAATTTTATAAGATACGAATAAACACAATTATCAATAATTGAAGGGTAAATATCATAAACATTAATATAAAAATACATATAATATATTTAAAAGAATACTATAGTTAATATTAATAAGAATAATTACTATAAAAGCCTCTTTCTACTTTTTCTCAATTATATATTTATTTTATCTAGTAAAATGCGAATTATATATTTGTATGTGTCAGGTCCAGTCGAGTTGTGAATAGATTTTTTTTCTTAAAAATCAGCTCAAGTTTTAGGTTAGGTCGAATGACAAGTAGAGAGGAGTTGTACTCAAGTCGGATTTAGATGGGTCGAAATTTAATTTGACTCGAACCATGATCACCCTGTTGACAACCTACTTTATAAGAATTCAAATGCGACATATTTAAAAATAGTTATGAATATATATCGGTAAAAGAGAACTAATATGAATATTCAAAAGTGTTGATTAATAAGATAACCAAATAAAAATATACATTTAAATAAACAGATAACTTATTGGTTTGAGTTTCCACTTAATATAATTATTTAATGGAATTAAATAATAAATAATGTGTTAAAGCAGCAATAATTTAAAAATCATTCACATGCCCTACAAGAAGCAACCTAAATGAAGGCAAAAGGGAAGCCTCTACGTTTCTTATGTAACTTAAAATCTTCTTTAGAAAACAATGCACGAAACACATGTGCTTACCAACGGGTTAAGGTAAGGAGTTTGATATCGTTTAAGTAGGTCTTGAGTTCGAGTCTTTGTCTATACAAGAAAAATCCTTGTTAAAAAATTCACCCGTCAAAACTAAGTGTGTGACTCGGATCGGTTCAGATTAGTCAAAACAAAACCTTAAAACCAAAAAGACGACAAACAAAAAACATGAGCTTCTCGATATTTGATTCAGTTGGTTCTTGTAATTTTTAAACTAATATTTACTATACTCGAAACAAAAAGTGTTTAGGATGAAACTTTAACCGAAATTTGTTTAAAAGCAAACCATACAGTTATTTTTTTCCCGATGAATCGATAAAACCAACTATTCAATATTCAATTGATTCAAACCCATCACCAATCAAATTATCAATTTTCACATTAATCCATCAATTTTGTCTAATTATAATAACTATATCTATAGTATATCTCAGAAAAAGCTAACACGAATACTTACATTAGATCATAAAAAATAAATAAAGCTATCAACGAGACTTAAATTAACGAGCTATAGTATACAAAATGTTACAAAATAGTCATTAAATTTATGAAACTTTTAAACCCAGTATAACATTGCAGGGATCATTTTATAACAGTTTGATAAATTTAATGGTCATTTTATGACTTTTTAAAGTTTAAAGATTGAAACGATAATTTGAATATAATTCAAAGACCTATAGTATGTTTTACCCAAACGGTTTTTGAAATTCTTGTAACGAAAACTATGTTGTATTCTAGAAAAACAAGGGGCCTGAGTTAAAAAAAAAAAAAAAAACCTTATTTCTTCTCACAGAAACAATCTGGGATTGGTCAACCAGTTTGATCTCACAATAGAAGCCTCTAGTCCTTCAAAATTTAACCCAGCACACCCCCTTAAAAGCTAAGCCCACCCTCGCACGCTTCACCCATCGATTTTCCTTTCACCAAAAGAATTTTCCCTCCTCATTCTCTCTCTCCCCAAACACCCCTTTCTTTTTCGTTATCGTTTACAAAAGATGGGTACTTTAGTGGGGCATGTTGCACCAGGGTTTGCCTTCTTTGCACTTGGTTTGTGGCACCTCTTCAATCACATCAAGCTCCATGCCATTAACCCAAATTCCTACACATCTTTCCCATGGTTCCCTACGTCGAAGTTTAGGCACTTGGAGCTTGTTTTGATCATGGTCTGCTCATCAATCTCCATCTCCATGGAACTCTTCATCGGTCCCGTCAAGCACCATCCGTTCGATACCGACGGGACGATCCCATCGAACCATCTCCACAATTTCGAGCACTCTGCTATATCGATGACGTTCTTAACTTACGCCGCCTTCGCCGTCGTCCTCGACGCGACCGACAACATACGCCCCGTTGCTAAGTATAGCCTAACGCAGCTCCTCGGAGCGGTCGCCTTTGCTCAGCAGCTGTTCTTGTTCCACCTTCACTCGGCTGACCACATGGGAGTTGAGGGACAATACCATTTGCTCCTACAAAGTGCAATCGTTGTGTGTTTAGCCACTACCCTAATGGGAATAGGGTACCCCAAGAGCTTCCTAGTGAGTTTTACTAGGTCTTTAAGCATATTGTACCAAGGCATATGGCTTATGGTCATGGGATACATGCTCTGGACACCCGGGTTGATTCCGAAAGGCTGTTTTATCCACTTCGAGGAGGGTCACCAAGTGGTCCGATGCTCGACCGCCACCGCGCTTCATCGAGCTAAATCGTTGGTGAATATCGGGTTCAGCTGGACCCTGATTGGTGTCACCATTTTTGCCGTGAGTTTCTACCTGGTTCTGGTCAAGCTGTATGGGGGAAAAGTTGAGTATTCCACGTTGGCACACCATGAAGATGAGAAATTTGAGCTTGGTGATGACAATGATGAAACTGATGACGTGGAATCACGAAAGGGTCAAAGAATATTACACGGTGAGCCTAAAACCTTTATCCATATGGGAAAAGGATATGCAGCCATGGACATAGAGAGGTACGTAGGTTTACATGTGTCAAGTAGGTGAACTTGTGTACAAAGTTTTAGTTTTTTTTAGGGTTGGATATATCTCACTTTGGTCTAAATTAAGGTTAATCACAACAAGAAAATGTCTTGTTTGGTTTGAATTCATGGGGTTTGGGAGTTAGATGGTGATTTCATTTTGATTTGTTATGTATACAAGTTGTTTAAGTTAAAGATTTATATAATATCATATCTAGAAAGCAACAAGCTAAAGATTTAATAATTTTAATGATCATTTGATTTCATGATACCATGATCATCATTTTATAACAATTTGACAATTTTAATAATTATTTTCTAGTTTTTAAAAAATCCAATGATAAGAACTATTTAAATATAATGCAATGATAAAGTATTTTATTTTTGGGTAAAGTATACAGATAGTCTCTCGACTATAGGATATTGTTTTGTTGAGTCTCTTGACTATTAAAAGTTATAGAATGGTCTCTCGACTAAATGGAGTTACTTTGTTGAGTCCCTCGACTATTAAAAAGTTACAAAATGGTCACTCGACTATTTATTATGTTCCAAACTCATCCTTTTTCGTTAAATTTAACCGTCATTTGAGTTGAACCTGCTGACTGAGATATGATGGTCGTTTGAGATTATGATATCAAATTTTATCATATCTTAATCAACATGTTAAAGTACATCTTAGACTACCATAAAATTTTTAATGGAAAAGAGCGAGTTTGGAACATAATGAATAATCGGATGACCTTTGTGTAACTTTTAATAGTCAAGGGACCCAACAAAGCAACTCCCTATAGTCAGAGGATCATTTTTACAACTTATAATAATTGAAAATCTTAATAAAATAATATGCCATAGTCATGAGACTATTTATGTACTTTACCCTTCATTTTATTTTATTTAAGCTAGAAATGACGTCACGTTCAAAATAATTATGGGACCGTGAAAGAATGGAAAGGAGTCAACGGACATGGTTAATTTAAGCAAGAATGTGATAAAGAATCTTGTAGTGTTTTTCTTAAAATAAATAAATAAATTTGTCTTTGGATGATAAACATCACAATGCTGCCCCACAATTTTGTTAATAAAACTAAAATATAAAAGAATTAAAATATTAGCCAAATGAATTATTATAATATACAATCGAATAATAGGCTTATTAGATGATCTCTTGATCGTCCAGCCACAATCTTTAATGGTCGAAAAGATACTGCAGTGTGTTGTTATGTCATTTTAGCCCTGGATTTTATATTCCGAAATTTGATCAACATACTCGTGGGAAGGGATAAAATATAAAAGCAATATTACAAGATAATCGACAAACACAATATCTTTCGATTGTTGAGAGTTTCGTAATCCTCTAACAAAATCCACATGTCGTATTACTTAAAATGCTAGGTTGACATATATACGTGACGACACTTAAATTTAAAACCTCGAAATTTTTTTAATGTTATTTATTAAAAAAAATAGTCTCTATTTGTAAATGTAAATGTAAATAGTGATAGAGTCAAACTAAGTTTAAATTGTAGTGTTAAATTTTTTTCACCCCGATTAATCCGGATTGATTTGTATCCCACACTTGGTTTTGGTGAGTAAATCTTTCAATAGGAATTTTCTACATACACAAGGATTTGAATCCGAGACCTTATTTGAGCTATATCAAGTTGATTACCGTTTGAACTAGTGGTTGATCTAGAAATATTTTTTAAAGTGAGTACATATATGTTAACGGTATACAATTTTTGAATGAGTTAAGCATAAATAAAATTTCATGGTGAAACTATCAATAAAATAGATCACTAATCGAAGAAAATTTAGATTTTAGGGTGGTCGCAATAAAATTTCAGGGTGTGTACGTGCCTACCTGAATGCATTCGCAACTGACTTGAACCAACTCTATTTGTTGTAGTGTTAAAATTTTAAAATTTGATATAATTTTCTTAATAATATTAATTTTTATGTATAAAAATTTATAAAACCTTAAGTGACATAACATCAATTGATGTGACTAATTTTATCAAGTCGCATTTTATTAACACCAATTTTGGCTATATTAAACCTTAAGTGATCCAAACTCAAGCCAGAATGACCCAATCACAACATATCCCATCAAATTACACATCCAATCTCTCGACTCCACACCCAGGTGTTCGAATGAGTATGCAGAGTCGATACATGCCATATAAAATCATTCTTTCTTTTCTATTCTACATTTCCAGATATGTATGATCTTCAAACAGTCTAAATCTTTTACATTCAATATCATCACGATTACATATTAATAAAAAATGATTACTACTTTACTCCTACTGAAGCCATCAAATCTTCATACTCAGGGTCATTTTCCTGTTTTCTTGCATTTGCCTTCCCACCTCCTTGCCGTTGAGATGCCCCAGGAACAGATGTGGGAGAGAATGGATCATAAACTTGCTGTCCGGGATAATGGCCCGACGTAGGCCTGGTGGGCTGCAGGAAACCATCACCGGAAAATCGGGGGTTAGGAGGTGCGAAATTTCCAGGCCTAGGTGGCAAAACCGGGTAGTGCTGTTGATGTTGCAAAGAATGCCCTGGCCTGGGAGGAAAGGGACCGGCCATATTGGGTGTTCGGGTAGGTGGAACAAAGTTTCTTAATCCCATGTGTGGAACTGGAGCAGCATTGGTGCCTGGGAATGCTGGAGGTCTGGGTGGAGCAGACATGGCATGTTGCTGATTTTGTGGCATACCCATCAGGTTGCCACTCTGTGGCCTAGGGAACACTTGCATTACTGGTGGTTGGGGGGTAGAATTGGGCACACCAAACTGGAATGGTGGTGCTTGTTGTTGAACCGCTGGTTGGGGGGCTAAAGCATGCAGATTTGCAGCTTGATTACCTGGTCTTGGTACCATCGGATAGGTCGGGCCTTGTGTTTGGTGAGGTTGGAAAGTGAAATCCCCGGAACTTGAATGTTGTGATCTTGCAGGTATTGGTGCAGGTTGATTTATGGGAGAAAAATTTGGCATGTTTCCAGGAATAGAACCAGAGGGTCCTCTTGGCATAGATGGCGATAATAACATGGGTGGTGCTTGTGAGTTAATTGGTCTCGGTAACATTGCTGGCTTTGGAGATGGATTCAGTGTTGGTGCCATGGAAATGACGGGCAAAGAGGATTGCATTGGTGGTGTTACAGACCTAGGTACTGACACTGCTGTTGGACGTAAACCAGATGATAATGCAGGAGAAGACCCTAGAGAAGGACCAGGAGGAAAAGGCAAGGATGGATGGTTAACAGGCCCACAGGTTAATCGAGGACCAAACTGCCCCGGTGAAAAGGTTGATAACATGTTCGGAATGGCAGAAGAATCCGATGCAACTGGTCGTGGAACTATAGGATGAGGCACCTGGGAAAAAACTGCAGGTGGAGCCAGTTGCGCCACATTGCTCAGACCTAGGGGTGCAGATGTGCCTGACCAGCCAGACGAGCTTCCTGCAGGCATCAATGGTCTTGTGCCAGGGAGTGGCCCAAGAGCTTGGGGATGGCTTCCTCTAAGTGGTAATGAAGATAAATTGCTAGGTTGAGCAGACGGAAGATTTTGGTTCGGCACAAGAAAATTTTGAGGAGGACCAGTATGACCCAAAGGCTGCATCGGAGGCGTATATGGCTGCGGTAATACTTGTCTTGGAAGCTGTGAACTGGATGAAACAAGGGATGAGTCTTGAATAATTGAGTTGAATCCAGCTGCAGGAGCTGGTCGTGGCCCCAAGAGTGAAGAAGGGTTTAAAGGTGAGGACTGTGTAGGTATAGAACTGTTGAGAATTGGTGCTGAAAGATTTGGCGGCATAGGGCTGGTAGGGAACCATGAATTATGGTATTGAAACTGACCTTGTGGAGATGCTGGTGTAAGTTGCGGCACTCGATGATTTAAAGCAGAATCAGTCGCACATGATACAGCTGTGTCAAATGTTCGACTAAGAGCATTAACATCATTCCCAGATATTGCAGGCATCGAACCAGTGCCTAAATTTCCCTGCAAAAGAGGTACAAATAGTTATTTTCATAAAGCAGTAGCAATAAATATCATTTCTTTATGTCCATCATTTTCTTGGAGAGTTTTTCTTGATGCTCAGAGCAATGAACTCACTGATATTGAACTAACTAGCAACTCAATCAGTGCCACTGCTCCATCAACCTTCTCAAAGGAATCAGCTGATACACGAACAAATAACTCATCATAAGCATCCAGTGATTCAATACCATGAGGTGTAGAAATTTCAACCTGACACAAAACACTAGCTATAAGTTAATAATATAATAATATAAGCAGTCACCATGCATATATTAAAGAAAGATCTTTCTTAAGTGGGAAATAGAAAAGGCCTCAGCTCATTAACTTAGACGGCACATATTCTCCCTGCCCAAAGAATTACCTTCTCGCCAGTATTTGCTTTAATGGCGTAAACTTGTACTGTAGCTCCAGTGTCCTGATTCGTAAGACGAATGGTAAACTATAAATTTTCCCTCACGAAGAGCATTTTCATATATATATGACCGTATATATACACTTACACATAGAGAGCAAGATCAACAGGTCTGAAAGGCCTTCATACTATATCAGTATCAATAGAACAAAATAACAGAAACCAAATACTTACCTTTTCTAGTCGCTTCTTAGTACCACTTCCGGGACCAAAGATTAGGGCAACAAAATTGCATCCAGGATATTCTTTCACCTGCAAAACTTATATAGTATCATAAATTCATAATATTCAAGTTCTGTATGCACATTGGCAGAGGATGGAAGAAACACATTAATATTAGAAAGAGAATAGCTTTGCAATGAAAGTTGGAACAAACTTGAAGGTACCTATAACATTCCATTATAGAAATTAACTGGTCAAATTTGTTTCATTTTGCAACAACTGACACAAAAACACCATGGCCTCTGATGATAACATATGAGCCATGAGCATAGCAGCCTTAATCAACATATTACCTACTCTATTTTAGTACCATCACTAGATTATTTAGGTTGAAAGTGTCCCACAATGTAACTTTCCTAAAAAGAAAGATGATGTGATCCTGACGAGCCCGTATCAAAAGAACAAATACAAGTGCAATGCTGATCCATGCAAAAAATTTCACTTTAGGCGGACAAGATAAACACAATGCATGTATTTAGATAAAAGGGGATATATATATATATATATAGAATCAAAATGCAGAAAAAATAAATGTGATCCTTATCATGTACTACGAATGCAGATATAACCAGGAAGAAATTTCAAATGAGTCGAACTCAAAATTTAATAAACTTTGATAAGTTAGTTACTTGAATGTAAAACTTCTTCCGGAATTACAATAAAAAAAGCGCAGGAAAGAGATAAAGAAAATTAAACGCAGTAATATGTCACTACAAAAATGGGCTTACAGGAATGGGAACTGTTTCCTCCTTCAATAAAGGTTTAAAATCTGCTGGTGCTTTGTAACTTGGATTCAACTTAAGTATTTCACCTAGAAGTCCAACAACAAAACGGTTAAAAACTGAATAAATTGGAGAAAGGTAAAATTTTCTCATCTAGCAAAAGTTGTTTGAGTTACCAATAGCTTCCCGTCTTTCAATCTCCAAAAGTTCTACTTCCTAAATTAACAAATTCTATGTGAGTTGGAAATATAAAATCCCCAATAAATCAATACAATAAAATGAAATTAACAAAGGATGCAATATTAACTGTCTCTCTACCTCACTTTCAAGTTGTCTACCATAAGTGTTTTTAACCATATTCTTAGCACCTACTGGCGAGTCTTCGGTTTCCCCGACATCCAGATTTCCTAACTTCAGCTGCTGTGTAATCTGATCCACCCGAGTCTGCTCAAAATTTGGACCACCACAGAGGAAGTAATGTCACTTAATGGCACCTGGAATGTGAAGTTTCCATGCTAGGGAATCACAGAGTGGACACTGGCATTTTATCTCCAAATTGGGGACAAGGAAAATGTTCAATTGCCATCAGGTGAGCTATGTACATATTCCTCCCACAATCCCGGGCTTCAAATGCTTCCAACCCATCACTCAAGATAGTTTAAACAAGTTGAAATAACTTATAAAATTCAACATGTAAATTTTCACTATGCACTTGCAAAAATGACTATGATATGCATTTCCAAGGGATAGACCAAATACCTGATAAGCTATGGCTCTACCCCTTCGGACAGCAGCATCCTGTGTCAGATCAGGGCTCCATTTTGTTTTCGTCTGAATCTGGTCCACATTATTGGCAGTAGCATCTCCTCTGGGTTTCTTACCTCCTTGGAAGATAGGAACCAACGAACCTGACAATTTATTTTTAGGTATAACAAAGCCCGTATTTGCAGCAAACCTTGAGACCTTTGGGACTGTAGTTGATGCTGTGGATGAAGTAGTTGTCGCAGACATGTTGGGAACATGAGGGCCAACAGCAGGAGTCTGGTCAACCTCTGTAGTCATCCTGTACAGTCAACCAACTTCCTACTGCTCCTGACATATGTATGCAGCATATAAAAATTAGTCAAAGTTGAGGCGGAATCCTCCAATACAGTCAGTTGTACGGTATAAAGGGGGTAAAAGAACTGCCAACTACAGATTGTAGGAAGGAAGCAAATAAAAGAATTTGTGTAGCAGTAAATTCTTCATTTTGTTTTAATGTAAAATCTTACAGTATGATTCAACAGTAATCAGTCTCCAAACCAAAGTAGAAGCATTACTTGAGATTAAAAAGTCTGCATTTAATATGTGTTTTCTCTTAAATGAACTGACTGTTAGACCTTGAGCCTGGCAAAAGAGAGCTAATGCAAGAGAATTAGTAACAAGAAACAGAAAAAAAAACTTCTAAAAGAAAGAAGCCTATCTACGTTACGATGTAACAGTCGTAGAAAAAGACAGCTGTGGCAGTCTTATAGTTACAAATGCTAAAAAACTTGATTGCCACATTCAAAAGTGATCCAAGTTTTAACAGTATCCTATAGTCCTTAAAACAAGCCCTAGAAAAAGGAGTAATCAAACTCATTAACCTGCTGGAAGCCAAAAGAGTTGGGGTTTTTCTCTCTCTTTCAAATGGGAAGGGGAAAGGAAAACAGAGCTAGCTCCGAGCAGGATACATACACCTACTATATTCACAAGTTCTTGAAAAAAAAATACAACAATTTAAACTCGTAATGGAGCACAATACAGACGAGCAAAAGTAAGCAGTATACACAATCTTCTCCTCCAAAAATCAGAAACAACTCAAAACTATTTTAAGGGAGTCCAAATTGATTCAAGCCAACAGAAAATAGCTTAAACCAAAGCAAAATTACCGATAAATGCTTTCATCAAATATCAAATTTACTGAACGAAACAAAATCAAAGAGCAGGGCAAGAAAAGCACCATGAACATAATCAATTAAAAGCAGGAAAAAATAAACAAATAAATAGCATGGAAATGAACGTATCAAACTTATATACTAATCATAATTCCTAAAAAAACAGTACTATTTTCTTTCCCCAAAAATAAAAGATATTGTAAGAGCTTTTAGAAACGAAATCTGTACACACTGAGTCCCATACAACTTCATGCAAGCATAAAACAGTAAGTTTATGATGAAAAAATTCCCAAATCTTCCCAAAGCAAGAAAGAAACCATCACTTTTTTTCACATTTTCTCATAAATCAACAAAACAGATGATAAGAAATGAGAATCGCATGTACTGGAACTTAACAGTGTCCAAATTAGATTAAGCAAAAGGGTATGAAGAGTACCTAGGGTTTATCCACTGAGGGTCAGAGCTCGATCCGATGGGCTTTTCAAGCTGAACTGAGCGCAGAGAGATAAGCGAGGTGTCGAGCAGGAAAAAAAACTGAAAAACAGTTGTGAAATTTGTTAACCCAGAGATTAAATTGATCGAAGGCGGTCGGTTATGGCTGATGATATGAGAAAACGGGCTACAAAATGGGCAAAACTGGCCCAATAGATCAAACGGGTAAAAGAATTGACCTATTAACCATCCCAAAATTAATTTGGGATACACTATGAATGCTATAATGCACGTAGCTTGCTCAAATAATATTCTTATTTAAATTTATCACATGATAAATTAAAAAAAAATCATATTTTATCATGTTAAAGTGACGCGTTTTAATAAAAAAAAATATTTTATTACAATTCATACAAATTTCAAGTCAATGTAACAAATTTTATAAATCTCAAATTAATTTTGAAAATAACTTAATGAGTCAATTTTTTTATCTGCCTACCCTATTGGGCTAATTTTACCCACAAAATGGCCCGATTAAAATTTATATAATGAATCATGCCCATGTACAAATAAATCATGCCCATGACCCATCTAAATCACATCGAATTTAGAAGGTTTTTTCTTCACCAGTCTGACCCGATCTAGACCTTTATACTATTAATAAATTTATTTTCCTCAAATTTTTGTGTGGATAAAATTCTTTATTTATCCAGAAGTAGAACATGCTACAAAGTATACTCCAAGCAAAGAGTCACCCAACAAAAACAAGGTGAACCCCAACAGAAAACAAAGCTATACAAAGACAAGCAAACCCCAAAACTAAGCTATACCCCAAGCATCACAAAGCCCCTTACTTACAATATTAGAACAATTAAAGCCCCTACTCCTGACTTTGATCTCAACAACAACTTGAATCAACCCAAAAACCTCATCAATCGACCTAGACTTTCTCCTGAAAACCCTATGATTTCGTTCTTCCCAAACACAATAAAGGTAGAGCACTCCAAGCAGTTTTAAGCATGAAAAATCAAAGTGACTTACCCTTTAAGCAAGAGCAAGCCCAAGCCCAAGCTAACTCCCGTTCCCAATCAAAGACATCCCTGTTAATGTTACACAGGCGCAAAATCCAACCACAAATGCCCCGACTGAAGGAACACTCAAAGAATATGTGATTCCTAGGTTCAATCGCATCATCACAGTTCACACAAAAGGAGACCACCGAGAAATTCATCATTACCAGTCTGTCCTTGGTGTGAAACCGATCCAAAATAGTCAGCTATGAAATAATAACATGCTTCGGGGTGTGCCTAGAAAACCAAATTAACCTCTGCCAAGGGATATGAGGTTTCTTTTCCCGAATCTCCCCCCATATCCAAGTAGCATTAACCTTTTGCCCACTCGAAACAGCAGCAAAAATATCAGCAGCCTCACTCCTAAATTGAAACATCTTCCTTAAGGTCCAACTGGCATCAGCTCGACAATCAGTAGCCCAAAAATCAACACCTTTGAGTACATAAGCATGCACCCAGTCCCCCAGAGGAATCGTTCACCAGCCAGAAGAGTCCGCAGCAGATGGAACAAACATGCCCTATTTCAGCAGCAAATATCTTTCAATCCTAATCCTCATTCAGATTTCAAAGAGTACACAGTATGCCAATTCACCTTAGCCACCACTGTCTTAGCATCAGTACCTTTCAAAAAAATATCTCATGCATAATTGATTGACCATCTGAATAACGGCCTTGGGCAAAATTAATTGTCTGCATCAAAAATTTGTGATCCCCATCAACACAGACTTTATGAGTTGCAACCGAGCATAGCTCAACATCTTACCCGACTACTGACCAAGTTTGGCCTTAATCTTTTCCAAGAAGGGCAAGCAATCATTCTTCGTAAGCTTCTGAGTCACAAGAGGAACCTCCAAATACCTAACAGGGAGGGGACCACGCTTAAAACCTGAAACACTCAGAATAACCTCCAAAAGACTAGCAGGGACCACCGAGGAGAATAGCTCACTCTTGGCAGCATTTAGGTAAAGCCCTGACATTGCGTAAAACTCCTCCCAAAACACACTGAACACCAATCACTGAATCTAAAGTACTCTTACAAAAGACCAGCAAGTCATTCGCAAAGCTTAAGTAAGGCAAACTTTTTTGCATTTTGGATGAAATTCAAAAAACCCATTAGTTGCAGCCAAATCCAACATTTTTAAAAGAACATTCATACCTAAAACAAAAAGGTAAGGGACCGGGGGGGCCCTTGCCTGATGCCTCTAGCACCCTCAAAGTAGCCCACCAAACTACCATTGAATGAGATGGAGAATCTAGGAGAGGTTAGAAAAGTATGAATCCATCCCTTAAATATACTAGGCAGTCTCATAGCTTCCAAAATATTAAGAACGAAATCCCAGGACAAGGAATCAAAAGCCTTTTGCAAATCAATTTTTAAAGCAATTCTAGGAGGCAGGGTCTTGCTAGCATACCCTTTCGCAATCTCCTGAGCTAGCAGCTTATTATCAATGATGCTCCTCCCCTTCACAAACGCAGTTTGATTGAGGGAAATCATACCAGGGAAAAACGAAACAAGCCTATCAACCAAGATCCTAGTAGCTGTCTTGTATACAACTGAACAACATGAAATCGGTCGAAAGTCATTTTCCTTATCCGAATGAATAACCTTAGGCATCAAGACAATAGCAGTGGAATTAAAAGCTGGGGGCATCCAAGCAGCTTCAAAGAAAAACCAATAGTAGCAGAAATCATCCCCAACCACAGACCAGGCAGACTTGAAAAACTGCGAGGAGAAACCATCAAGTCCAGGGGCTTTATCCCCCTTGCCCAAATATGGCAGCTTTGATTTCAGCATTTATTACACCCATAGTCAGAGCCTCAACACTACCCTCAGGAAGAGAGTATTGAATTAAACTCTTAAGACTTTGCACCTCACACCCTCGAACTTTAGAGTCCTTAGTACCAATAAGCTTAACAAAAAAATTCACCATCCCAGCAGACATAGCATCAAACGTGTCTAATCTCATACCAGTATCATCAAATAAAGTCCTAATAGTATTTTTCTTATGACGAGCAGCAACAGCAAAGTGGAAAAATTTGGTAGATTGATCCCCTTGACAAAGCCAACTAATCTTGGCTTTCTGCTTATAGAACATGCTCTCAGCCTTTTCCAAATCACACAATTCATCGAAGAGCTGTTTTTCCTATAAAATATCAACATCAAAACTAGTTAGGTTCAGAAGTTGTCTTTTTTTCCAGTTGATCTCTCTTAAGCTTGACACGTCCAGAAATGACCCCAAAATGGGCTTTATTAAAAACTTTTAAGCAATCCTTCAAACGTTTCAGCTTTAGAAATAGACAGTGAAGAGGGTCCCTACCCCGAATAGGAAGATTCCAAGACTCAGCAACAGTGGTGAGGAAGTCAGGATGAGCAACCCAAAAGTTAAAAACTTTAAAGGGCTTTGGTTTCTTTATAGGCTTCTCCTTAAGCAGCCAAGCCACAGCCAAACAGTGGTCAGAAGTACCTGGAGCCTGAAACTCCACAAAAGATCCAAGAAAAGCAACAGCCTTTGAGGGACTGATAAGGACTCTATCAAGCTTTTTAGCAACAAAACCAACATCATTCTTATTAGTCCAAGTAAAATTAGGCCCCAAATAAGAATAATCAACCAAAGACGAGTCTCCCAAACAGTCCTAAAAATCTCTCATAGCAGCATTCAAATGAAACCCAACAGAATCAAAATGACAAGTTTTATTTGAACAGAGGATGACATTGAAGTCACCCCCACAAGCCAAAGAGCAGAGTTTACAAAACTTTCCATAGCTCTTAGTTGATCCCACAAATGCATTCTAACGATAACGTCATTAATGCCATAAACAACAGTAATGAAAACATGATTATCATTAAGAACACCCCGAACAGAAATATATTGATCAGCAGCCTGACAAACAGCCATATTTAAATGTTTCTCCAAAGAACCTAAATGCGAAAATTCTCAGTAAAATCATAATTGGCACAATAATTCCAGTCAGCAAATTTATCACTAACAATCCAAGACATGTTACTAACCTTTACCCGAGTTTCCAACAAAGAGGCAATGTCAATATGCAAATCCTCTAGCCTTTGGACAATTTTGGACAGTTTAGAGGGGTTATTCATCCCCCGGACATTCCAAAAGCACACAATCATGATGATTGAACCAAAGAAGAACAACCTAAAGAGCTAGCTCATTCACTCACTTTTTTAACTTTCTCCAAAGTGGACTTCTTCTTGACTTTCATTTCATGCAGCAAATGAGCAACCCCAGCCGCAGCTGCCCTGGCCCTTCTAGGAGGATACTCAATAACATATTCAGGGTCAACTTAATCTAACACAACAAAATTACTCTTCATAATCACCTGTTAAAGTTTCCCCTTGGCCTTCTTTCTGGTAGCCGATTTAGCAACCTGCAAAGAAGGAAAACCATCACAAGATTTACCTCCTGCAATGGCAATTTCAACAACAGCTTGAGAACTAGGAACTTGACTATCAAGAGTCTGAGAAGAATTAGAATCATGCATAGCAACATCTTGACCCTGATTACTATGAGCAACATCAATATTTGCAACACACTGCCCCGAACTCCCACTAGTAACACGAGGAACACTAGTATCAAGAGCACTACTAGAGTTTACACTAGTATCCACAGTATCCTGCACATTACCCAAAGGATCATTCTGTTTGGGTTTTCAAACTTTCGCAACTTTCCTCCTACGCTGTTGACAAGACTTCTCCAAATGCGAAAAAGTCTTACAACCAAGGCATCTAGCATGGAACCAATGTACCTCAACCTTAACATGAACAATCGATACATTACCAAGAACAACATCGACAAACCTAGGTAATTGAACATCAGGTGCAACTTCGATACATACCTTTGCATAATCAAGACGTTGCCGAGAAAATGTGATACCATCCATGTAAAGAGGAATCCCCAAAGCGCTTGCAATGTAGCTCAGACCCTTTTACGTGAACAACTCCAAAGGAACTCCACACAACTGAACCCAAATTGAAATTCGATCTAGGTTAAAATCTAACCGCTTCAAATCAGGCTCCCATTTCCTCAAGATCATCGGGACATTTTGCACATGCCAAGGGTCGTTCTCAAACACCCAATCCCTCGCTGTATCGTTAAGGAATTGAAACACAAAGAGATTATACCCGCAAGCTTCACCGCTACTTCCTCCATTTCCCCCCAAAGAATATTCACAAGTTTCTGCATCGCACCAAAATTGGGAGATCTACCGAGAAATTGTGCTACCAAGGAGTACCGCCAGGCAGTAACCCCCTCATTCAAAACCTCCGCCGGAGGCTTAACAACGATGAATCCATCCTGAATAATTGGAGGGAAAAATCCAGAGAGTCTTGCTGAACCTCAAAAAGTTTCCTCCAGTCCATCCAAATAATCAAGGAATCAAGAAAAAACCCCAACAAATCCAATCAAACAAGAAGAAAATCAGAAGACGAAGAAGAGAAATCAGAAGACATACCAGCTATCCCCGACGGTCTTTTCTATTTTCCTTAAATTGGTCAATTATAAATCATTGTAAAATAATATATTTTATTTTTAAAAGTAATAAATTTAATTTAGATCATAATGAATTAACTAAAATAAAAATGATAGCAAGTTGAGCCTGTAGAATATAAATTTGAACTCATAAATTTACTTTATAGTTTAAATTTATTTATTATTTCCATTAAATTATATTATCACTGTACGGCCACTAATAATATAGAAACAGTTGTTATTCTCTTATTTAATACTCTAATTATTAGTTCTATTCTGTTTAATCACCCGATTATAATTTTTAAAAGTTATATCTAATTCATTTTGGTTAACCGTAATTAAAAAATAACGGAACTGTTAACGTGATAATTTTTTAAATCTTTAAAGATGATTTGATATTATCTTATAGTAATAAATCAATATCATCATTAAATTTTTAACGGTGAGTGATTACAATAAAATTAAAACTTAATACTAAGTATGATTTAAAAATAAAAATTAACTTAATGACTAAAATAAAACAAAAATAATAATTGAGATATTAAATATATAGTGTACCCTAATATTAATATCCAAATACCTACCATATAATGGACAGTACGGTAATATTGACAACCTCCATAAAAGCTCTGCGACAGTCATTTCTTATTTACTTTCCCTTTATCTTCTTCGTCAGTGAGAGAACAATAATGGAGTCCAAACGTCAAGCTTTCACTCTCTCAACGATATTGCTTCTGATGCTGCTGGGTTTGGCGAGCTCCGATATCAACCAAGACAAAGCCGAGTGTTCGAATCAGGTGGCGGGGCTGGCTCCGTGTCTGCCGTACGTGGAGGGCGAGGCGAAAACGCCGACCATAGACTGTTGCAGCGGCCTCAAACAGGTGGTGGACAAGAGCAAGAAATGCCTGTGCGTGTTGATCAAAGACGGAGACGATCCCAGCCTAGGGATCAAGATCAACGCCACGCTCGCCGCCGCTCTCCCCTCTACTTGCCGCGCCACTGTTAACATGACGGATTGCATCTGTAAGTGAACAAAGGCAGTTTTTTTTTCAGGGTAAAATACGGAAATGATCCTCAAATTACGTGATATTATTTTATTAAATCATTCTATTATTAAAAAATTATAAAATAATTTTTCGATTATAAGTTATTATTTTGTTAAACCATATATTATTAAAAGTCATATATTTTAAAATTCGTTATTTTTTTAAAAAAAAATTAATGTTAATTTTTAATTTTTAAAATTAAATATTTAACGAAACTCGTTAATTATATAATAAAATAACAAGAATGAAAGTCTACAAAATCACTTTAACATCAATCATGATTTTCAGAATCGAATCGGTTAGTGAATTGATCATGTTATCGATTCACTGATTTAACCGGTCGAATCGATCCACTGGTTCAATCGGTCGAAAAAATCGGACGACATCATAATTATTTAAAAAATTAAATAAAAATATCAAAAATATTTAATAAAAATAATTTTTTATATCACAAGTTATATTCAAAACAAATCATAACATATATAATTTAAAAATCATAAAATCAAGTGAAAAGAATGATTCAAATTAACTATAATATAATATTTAAGGTAAAACATATTAAATAAAAAATATAATTATATAACTATAATTAAAACATAAATTTAGAGTTAAAAAATAATAACAAAATAATATTGTTTGGTTTTATTTTTTAAAAAAAAATAATCTCACATGACTAAGAAATATAAAAGAGCATCCTAAAATTTTAAAGAGTAAAAATATAAGAACAAAACAATCTCACATGACTAAAAAACATAAAAGAACATCACAACTAACTTCTATAAATAATAGAGGTAATTTGACATTCAAAATCATGAAGTCTTTTGGTGAGCTTTAAGTGAACTATTCTTTCACTTCAATCAAACTCGAATTTTAGGCTTCAATCGAACTTCTAAATTTTTTTTTGAGTTCAAGTTTCAATATTATATTTCGAGTTTTAGTTGAACTTAATAATTTTTTTAGCTTGTGAGTTTGAGTCGAGTTGAGTTTACTTTTAAAGTTTTCAAGTTTGAGTAAAGCTCAGCAATATTCGAGTTCGACTTGACTCGTTTAACAAACGACGTCATTTAGTTTAATTTTTTTTAAATAAAATTGGTGATTTTTTTTCAATTTTTAGCCGGTTCAATTCGAACGATTCAGCAGTTCCGGTTGGCTCACTAATAATGATTCAACCAGTGTAGATTAAATCGAATTAGACAACTATTCTCGGTTGAACCGACCGGTCCGATCCGATTTTCAAAATACTTACGCCAACCACTACTCCCCTTATCCATTTAAGTGGAGTTTGTAGTCTTACTCCCAAGATTTTTGAGAATTTCTATTAAGGTATCATGAAATATCGAATATTTTAATTTGAACTTCCGAATTTAACGTCAGGGCACGTTATCCATTTAAGTATAGCTTAGCATTGATTTTAAAATTCAAAATTTTAATTTAAGAATTAAGTATTTAACATTGCTATCAAAATATGTTTTTGGAGATAAAAATGAGATATTTTAGATATGATGGTGTAAGTTAAAACAATATATATGCTCAAATGATATTTAAATTTTTTGATATCTCAATATATGAATTGTATTAACTTTGATTGTGATAAAATATAAAAAAATTATTTTTATCTAAATAGTAATAAATTATTTTGAATTTTGACATTGACGTTGAATTCAGCCCTACTGCACTTAGCACCCAATTCCCATGAAGCAAAGTTATTTGAAGGTTATGAGAAGCTGACAGAAGGGCATCCCAGCGTTGCCGCTACCACCCCATCAACCACCGGTAACACTGTCATCTCTTTGCCCTTTATTTTTTTAACTTCTCTTTATTCACCTAATTAATTGGTAGAAATAGTACGAACTCATTAGGGGGTATTTATGAAAAATAAAAATAAAAGGTTGTTTCTTTCATAAGTATTAAGGTTAAACAATTGTATTTATGATGTGTATGAGCGTTATCGGTAGATTAAGAAAATTCTGATTGATTCTTACTTTTATTTTATTCGAGGTTTAAATCTTAATATATATCTTATGTTGTCCTCTTCTCTCTCTTTTCCATGTTCCTTTTCTTTTTGATTTTATCTTCCCCCATAAAGTTATAACTTTAAGTATTTTGTATTTATGTCACATAAGTTTTAGAGTTTTCGTTCTTCAATATCTTATATGAACACTCAAAACATCGATGAACTGATCTCATCGTCTATAAATTTTTAAATTTTCTCTAAATCTTTCCTAAAACTCGTGAAATTCAATTTAAAACCTAGAATAAAATCATTGGTCTATAATCTCCATTACCCGATCAATGTGGAATGGAGATTTTAGTTTGTCTTTTCCATCTCCACCTCTCCGTCTCCGTCGTTGATATTTAAAAGAAGATACTTCATTAATTAAAAAAATACTTCAATGGTGAAAATTAAAAGAAAATCCGAAAAATTAAGTTTTGGGAAATTTCAGGTGATTTTCCATAAAAAATATTTATGAAAGTTTTGGGCCCTGTCATAATCTTTGAAAACAAATTCTCCCACAAATTGGTGTGGATCTGAATAATTGAAATTTTAAATGAACTAATCACAATATTTTAAAGTTAAATGACTAAAATCCAATAAATTTATGAATCACGATAATATGATGCGATAAAAAAATTATTACATGACAATTATTTCTCTCTGACTCGTGTAGGAAACTCCACTAGCAGTGGTGCACAGCACAGTGATGGAGGAAAGGGACAGAAGTGGGCGGCCATCGAGATGGCGTTGGGAGCTTCTCTTTGGATTTTTGTTATACATCAAAGCCTTGGTGTGTGATAATGGAGTTTATTATTATTGTAAAATGTAGTGCTCCATGAATTATTATGTGTTAAATGTTAACTACGGATTTATTCTATGTTTTTAGTTTAATCAATTTTAATTTTTATACTTTTCCATTTTAAAATTTTAATCTCATCTCACATATTATGATGATATGAATAAAATATGAGGTTAAATTAAATAATAATAAAAATAAATAGGGTTTGTTTCAGTGATAAGCAACTTAATATCGTTTAAACAAAGTTATATGTTCGAGTCTTTGTGTATACAGAAAATTTTTGCTGGGAAACTTACCCACCGAAGTGTGTGACATGGATCAGTCCAAATTAATCAAGACAAAACTTTAAAACTAGAGCGCAACAAAATAAGAATAATAATAATAAATAAATTTACAATTTCTATATAATATAGTGACTAATGATGAAATTTGTTAGATTTAATAAGTATCGTTTGAATCAAAATTTAAAATTTACAAATATGAATATATTGTGTTTATAATTTAACCTAATTTCCTCTCTCAATATTCTTGTGTCGTCTTCTCTTCTTCCTTTGTTTTTGTTTATTTTTCGACAGCACCGATTTTAATATTAGTTGCGACCGTCGGTGATTATTATTTTTTTGTTCTTTTTCATATTATGTCTTTGTTTTTTTTCTTGAGTTTTTTCACTTTTAAATAAGAATCTATATCTTTGTGACACATTTTTTCTATACTCTTGTGACACACTTTTTCTATGCTATTATGGCATGTTTCTTATGGTTTTCGGTAAGTTTTTCGCATACTTTTACGGTCGTGTTGGTGATTCCACAAAGATCCTCGTGGCATTTGTTTTCTAATTGGCTTGTTGGTGGTCGCGTATTGTTAGATCTCCTCTTTTGGAAATGGTCACTTGGTGATATAATCAAAATTGTGTAGCGAAGTAGTCTGGTAAATTATTTGGTTCGCTCACTATTCCTTTATCACATCGTAAACGTCTCGTTTGACAGATACAATGAGTTTTATGAAGGTTACTGGATTGTTTTGATGTTTGGAAGGTTTCATTCTCTTCGTATATTTGGGTTTAATATTTTAATTTTATGTATAAATTTTTGGTGACTTCTGTCTCCAAATTTATTTTTAGATGTGTCATAATTTTGATTTTTCTATTTTTATCAATAAAATTCAGTTGTCATTGTTAAAAAAATTATAAATAATACGATTGATCACTTAAAATGTAACATAGGAGTAAGGTTTTGGAACTACAAACTCAAATAATGCACATATGTTATGGGAAAATATGGCAAATTCCATCAGAGAAGTGGGCAAAACACCCTTGGGTTGTCGATAGGAAAGATCAAGGAACATAAAGAATCCTGGTGGTGGAACGACGAAGTCCAAACTAAGGTGAAGACAAAGGAAACTTGCTTCAAGGAGTTGCTACAATGCAATGACGACGAAGAAAGATCGAGAGCTAAACAAAGATACAAGGAGGCAAAGCGGGAAGCCAAGAAAACAGTGGCTAAAGCAAAGGATAAGGCATACGAGGAAATGTACAAGAGGTTAGACACCAAGGAAGAACAAAACGACATCTTCAGGCTTGAAAATTCTAGGGAGAATAGGAAAAAGGATATAGATAGCATTAGGTTTATTAAGGACAACAATGGTGTTCTTTTAGTTAAAGATCATGATATTAAGAGGGTTTGGGGAAGTTATTTCTTTGGCTTATTTAATAACGGTGCCTCTCCCTGCAGAGATAGTAACATTGATGGGTCAGCCGACCTTCATACTACGACCAATGACTGCCCTATAAGTAGGATTGGGATTGAGGAAGTCAAAATGGCCCTTACAAAGATGGGGAGGGACAAAGTTGTCGGTCTAGATCAAATTCCTATCACTGTGTGGTTGACCCTAGGAGAAGAGGGAATTAAGTGGTTGACCAACATCTTTAATATTATTTTAGAGACTACCAAGATGCCAGAGGAGTGGAGAGAGTCTACGGTGATACCAATCTATAAGAATAAAGGATATCCCCAACGTTGTGGTAACTACAGAGGTATTAAACTACTCAGTCATACCATGAAGCTATGGGAAAGGGTGATAGAGGCAAGGTTGAGACAGGTTACCAGGGTTTCGGAAAACCAATTTGGCTTTATGCTAGGCAGATCTACTACGGAGGCGATTCATCTACTTCGACAGCTTATGGAGAAATATAGGGAAAAATAGAGATCTTCACATGGCGTTCATTGACCTTGAGAAGGCGTATGATAGCGTACCCCGCGATACGATCTGGAAGACCTTGGAAACGAGACGGATCCCAACTGCTTATATCCGGGCGATTCGTGATATGTACTGTAGATCTACTACATACGTCAGGACTATAGTTGGCGACACCGAGGCATTCCCGGTGGAAATCAGACTCCACCATGGGTCGACTCTTAGCCCTTACATCTTCACCTTGATTATGGACGACATCTATTGTGCGAAACCAGACGGTGTTCTATGGTGTATGTTTTTCGCTGATGACATTGTCCTAGTTGCAAAAACAAAAAATGAACTGAATAGTAGACTGGCTACCTGGAAGACTGCTTTGGAAGAAAAAGGTCTAAGGATCAATATTGAAAAGACAGAGTATTTATGTTCAAACTTCAGTGGGAATCAAAATGATGAAGATGTAGAAGTATGCATCGAAGGACACGTTCTACCCTTAATGGATTGTTTCAAGTACCTAGAGTCTATGATACATAAAGATGGGGGTGTATATGATGACGTTACACACCGTATAAAGGCGGGATGGCTAAAGTGGAGGGCTGCTATTGGAGTTTTGTGTGATAAGAAGGTGCCTCTAAAAATTAAGGGCAAAATTTATAGAATGACAATAAGAACAGCATTGCTGTATGGATCAGAATGTTGGGCAATTAAGAAGGATCACGTAAGGAGGATAGAGGACGCAGAAATGAGAATGCTTCGATGGGCATGTGGTAGGACTCTGCGGGACATGACACCAAACTCTGCAATTAGAATGTCATTGGGGTGGTGCCTGTATCCGAAAAATTGAGAGAGGGAAGACTACTATGGTTTGGACATGTCCTTAGGCGGCAACCGTCGGATGCGGGTAGAGTCGATTACAGTCGATGGTACCAGAAGGAGAGGACGACCAAGGAGGAAGTGGGTAGACTGCTTGAGATCTGATTTGAAGGATTTAGCCTTTACCGAGGACATGACCTCTGACAGGAAAGTATGGAGACTTAAGACCAGGGTAACCGAGTAGTGTGGGACACAACCATAGGGTGCAGCATCATATGTCTTCTTTTTAATGCCTTTGTAGTAATTTCCATGACTTCTACTTTTTATACGTTTCTATCATTGGAATTTATGAAGGCTTAGAACTAGGATAGAAGAGTAGTATTGCCTTAGTTTAGGTTTTAACCCATTTGACTTTATTCATTCTCGTACCTTGTTATCGCTGACTACGGTGTATCATTCTCTTCATGTTACATCTTTTTAAATTTAGTCGGGACTTACGTTTCTGTCTATATACAGAGATTTGTACGCAAGGATTTATTTGTAGGGATTACTTCCCATTACAGACGCGCATATGAAGACTGCATATGAAGACTGTTCAACTATGTATTTATTTATTTATTTATACATGCATTGTATTTTATCTTTATTTTTAATTTTTTAACTGCCGGAGGTTTTACACGGAAGTTGCTCTCAACATGGCGTTGGGGGCAACCTACTACCCTACCTTCCCCTTACCCCATTGCATATGAGAATAAGGTTTTATTGTTGTTGATTGAATTCAGAGAATGAAATTTGAAAAAAAAAGGTATATTGTTTAAATATTTATATATGTATAAAATCCACCTATAAAGTATGTTATAAAATTTAATTTAAATTAAATTATAAAATGAATATAATAAACATGATTATCTGAGAATAACAATAAATGATAATTAAATGTATATTAAATATTAAAATTTCGCTACGATATAGTGAAAAAAGTATTTTATATATTATGAGTTTTCTTTAATTAATAATCATAATTGAATATACTAATCATTATCGTATGTACATAAAAGTTAAAAAAATATCATTATAATATTTATTCTGAAATATTTTTAGGATAAATTATATGAATAGTCACTAATATTTGAATAAGTTTTTGTTTACTCCACTGAAATTTCAAAAATAACAAATTGATCACTAATATTATCAATTTATAACAGACCGATGACTTGACACTGCCACACAAAATAATCACAAATGAAAAACAAATTCTCTTATTTTCCGTTCTTCTTCATTATAAACCAAAAAATGTTGCAGAATTCAGTAGTACAAGAGCTTATGGGTTTACCTTTGCCCATCCATCATTCGAAGGTGATTTATCATCCACTACCTCTGTCAGCATTCGCTTTTATTCTGTTTCTATTAGTGTTATCTGAAGATAATGTTTCTTTAATGGTGGTGTATGTCTTTTGCCTTCTTATCGCCTGCATTGCATTTCCGATTTTATGCACTTAAATCCATTTTTTTTCCATATTTGAGTTTCCTAATACATTGTCTTAAATATATGGGTAAAATTCAGTTGGTTTTTTATTTTGTCTATTTTCTCATTCTGCTAAAGTTTTGATTCTACGGATGGTAAGATATCTGTTTCATTTACTGAAACTAGAAATGTATGGAGTCTCTTATTCAATCTCTGCTTTCTTTATATGATGACTTATAAGGTGCAAAAAGAATAGTTTGTTTGCTCTATGTTTGGACTGATTACGACTTGAATGTTTTTGTGTTTGGTGCAAGACAACCTGTTGAAAGTCCTGTTACAATATGTGGTGATATTCATGGACAGTTTCATGATCTTGCGGAGATTTTAGAATTGGAGGGAAGGTAATTTTTCTGGTTCAAGTTGCGATGTTGTGTTTCAAACGTGATGCTAACTGTGGTGAACTATTTGCAATGCATGTTGTATTTTGTTCTGTCTGGCCTTCAACGAACATTCATAGATCACAAACACATTATCATGTACATCCAATTATAATTCTGTGCAATATATTTTCCATATTTTGTGGGATGGGGTCAAATGGACTAGCACTATGTTTCAGTGTTTTTTCTTAACATTTAGTTCTTACTGCAAAGTTTTTGATCAGTGTCCAGATGCAAACTACTTGTTCATGGAAGATTATGTTGACCGTGGTTTCTATTCAGTTGAAACTGTAACGGTAAGTACGAGTTTTGTACCTTACGTTTCCAGCTTTTTAGATGGTTCACATTGACTGTTTATGTTCTTTTTACTAGTAATAGTTCTAAATATGAATCCTTACCACATCAACGTTTTTCTTCGTCACGTTTCACACCGGCATTAATAAATTTAAGTACATCATGTTTGGTTTTTGTTGCAACTCATGTTTTACTTATGTTTGGCTTTTGTTCAGCTTTTGGTAGCACTCAAAGTGCGTTATCCTCGACGGAAAAACCATCTTGAGGGGAAATCATGAAAGCCGTCAGGTATGTTTTGTTTCTAAATGATTGTTCATGATGTATGTTTCAGTTCTGAATTACTTGTGAGAGCTTATTATGCATGGATCATTTATCATTGTTCTTTTTATAAGCTTTTATGCGTGTAGGGGGGGGGGGGGAAACAGAATTGTCATCATCATTATCCATTCTTCTTTGGAACTTATTTATCTATTTGAGATGTATATAATTTTAATTCTAATAAATGTTTTATGTTTGAAATGCAGATTACTCAAGCATATGGGTTTTATGATGAGTGCCTAAGGAAGTGAGTATCTTTGACTGTTTGTATAGCTTATTGCCAATGCTATTAATTCTGAAAGTTCTGATTGAGGGTGGACTTTCTTTATTTTGACTGCAAACTATTGCTTCTGATCTTTCCTCCCTGTTCTACAATACAAGGCATTCTGAATGCCCTATTTTTTTGTTCGTTTGTAGTTTTATGCGTGAGCCTATTGTGGCAAACAGATTCTTTTATAATAAACTGTGTCAAACAGATAAAACAAAGAGAACAGACTTAGAATAGGGCCAAGTTGACTTGAAAATTATTTAAATTATAGTAGTTTGATTTAGATGCATGACATTTATTTGCAATGGCTCCCAGAATTTCCAATTTTAGCACAAAGGAACTTTCATGTAAGCTTTGACAGGGTGGCATGTCAATTTTCTTAATGAGACAGTTGGAAACTAATTAGCTTAAACATTGAATTTGAAAGCAGGTTATGCCAATGTTGTTGCCGGAGCAATGGGATATCATCTGTAAATAGGCTTGTTTTGCATGCGGTTGCTCAATTTTACAGGGTGTCTGCAGTTTTTGGTGCTAACGAATAGAATTTACTTAATATGTAATTGTTCTGAAAATAGAAGTGGATTACTTTTACAAAAATTAAATAGTTAGAAAGATGGAAACTACATTTTCTGTTACACTATGATATGCACACGCTCTCGCGCGTACGCACACAGGTCCTATGATTTTTTCTTCTTTTCAAAATTTTCAATTTCTGGATTAGTAAGTCTCTCTTTAATTAATTTGTTGGTGTTTCTTTGAACGTATTTTTTTTCTTTTCCATCTTCAGGTATGGCAGTGCCAATGTTTGGAAGATCTTTACTGACCTGTTTGATTATTTTCCGCTCACAGCATTGGTTAGTATTTATTATTTATTGTTTAGTTCTATTTCAAATGACCTGTAATGTTGTGGTTATTCAAGCTTAGGTTATTAGGACGTGCTTTTGTAATTAGACACTCTGCACCATGCAATATCAGCGGTTGATTGTTTCTATTTCCACAATGTTTTCAACAAGGTGCACAGCTTTTATAAAGTGATTCCTTGTTATGCTTCATTTCCGATGGAGACCTTTTTCCGGCACACATCCACAGCTGTGGGTATAGAGGTTCAAACCTATATGGAAAAACTTGGGAAAATTTGATGTCGGAGAAGTACATTGTATCCAGCACACACCTCTGAATCAGAGATTTGGATAATCTAGACCCCTTATTTACGATTGATGCATCTTTTTAGTTGATAACATAAAGAGGGTACTAAGTTCAACTATTGGTACTGCCACCATTATTATCATTATAAAATCATCATATGTCCAACCCCCCTAACATTCATGTTTTACTATTTTCTGCATCCGTCAGTAGTAATCTTGCCAGAAATGTTAGCTGCAATATTCATAACTGAAAGCTTTATTTTCATAGATTATGTTTGATCTAAGACGAGCTAATGCTGCTGATGCTGTTCCAACTTAGATTACTTTGTTAGTTTGACCCCAGAAACCTGTCACGGCTATTCTGTTTTATGTTTGGTTGGTATTAGTGATTCTTAGCTGCTGGCTTTTTGTTGTTTTGAAGGTTGAATCCGAAATTTTCTGTCTCCATGGTGGGTTGTCTCCATCCATTGAAACGCTGGATAACATACGTAACTTTGACCGGGTTCAAGAAATCCCTCATGAGGGTCCCATGTGTGATCTTTTGTGGTCTGATCCTGATGATCGTTGTGGTTGGGGTATTTCTCCAAGGGGAGCTGGATATACCTGTGGCCAAGTATAATGTTTTTTGCTTTCCTTTTTTGGGTTCGTAGTCTTCTATTTCTTGGAAACGGTCCAAGGACATTTTTATCTTCCCTTGTAACTTAAATGACATCTTCAGGACATATCCGAGCAATTTAATCATACAAACAATTTGAAGCTGATTGCTAGGGCTCATCAGCTGGTCACGGAAGGCTACAACTGGGGCCATGTAAGTACTTCACCTGCTTTGATACTTCGTCCCGAAATCCAGCATCTTATACTGGATTTGTGTAACTGATATAATTTCTTCCACAGGAACAAAAGGTTGTTACTATATTTAGGGCACCTAATTATGGCTTCCATCTTGGAAGTTGACGACTACCAGGGTCATACATTCATTCAGGTAAGCTGTTATCTCATAAACGCATCGTCCTGCATGCAGATCGAGCTATTACATCGTCCATATGTATAAACACTTAGTATGTACATATTTGTATAAACATTAACTATTCTGTTCAAACAAACCAGCTCCGAGGAGAGGAGAGCCATATGTAACCCGAAGGACGCCTGACTATTTCCTATAAAACAAAATGGCATTGAATCGACCAGTCTCTGGCAGCTGGTCCCTCTCTTCGGGCTTGCGACAAGGGATTTTTAAAAAATTACGATTTGTAATTCACAATGGTGGGTGGCTGCAAAGCCATTGTACAAGGCATGGTAAGGGTTGCTTCCTTGAATTATGCTCGGGCTTCCACAGCCGAAGAGCCGACAACACCTTTTAAGAGGCATATGTACTATTTCAAGCAGACTATGTTGACACTTCATTTATTTATTCTCATTGATTCTGATTTTTGTATTCGAGAATCGATAGATTTGTAGAAGGATGCTGAGAACATTTTCCATATATTAATGCTTTTCTTTCGTTTTTGATGATCGAACATACTCGTTGTGGACATATACATGTATTCGACACAAACCCGAGCAATGCCTCATTCTCTTTCATCAACACTCACAGGCAAGGGCTTAAACGCAGCCAGAACAACAGCAACTTTGCACACAAGAAAGCCCATCATTCCAACCAAAAGTTCTTTCGCAGTAAACTCAAATGGAACATCACTCGTGCTGTACTTGATTGCTAACGAAGAAAGTGCTACAGCCAGTGCCAGGCTTGATACCGGACCCCTAAATCGGACCATTTCATTTCTGGGATTCTTTGATATTAGTTCAGAAGCTGGTAATTCGTCAACGGACCTTTGCAATAACCACAGATAAAGAAAACCGATGATCCCACCGAGTAAGAACGCAAAAGCATAACTTTCCCCGATCGAGACGGATGAAAATGATGTACCGACAACTATAAGAACGACATCATAAAGTAACAAAGAGAACTTCAAATCTGCATATTCCTTCATGCTTTTTTCATTAGTTATCCCGTCACTCAAGGGTGAAGTTGACTGAGAAAAGATCTCGTTCACGAAGACATTAGAGCCCGATAATCCGGTAATGACACCAGGTCTTAGTTCCACCATGGAATCATCACTACCCTCTCCAAGCAAGATATTATCAACTTCGAAGTCATATTTAACACCACCGTGTTCGAAATCTTCCCTAGAGTGAGATTGAGATGTATTAAGGATGATTAGGCAGACACCACCTAATCTCCATTGACCTGAAAAATGAGAAAGGAAGATGAACATTTATCTTTCCAGGTGCACTTAGTTTAACCTACAAGTTACCAAACTTACTTGCACGAATCAACATCTTAAAACTATCAATCCTTATTCGAGGCTAACCTGATTCAACACCGATCCAAAGAGCTTTAACCTTCCCCAGTTCCGGCCCCTCAAATACAAATTCATCAACGGAACCTCTTTCGAAATGGAGAGTTTCAGGGTCCACCATGTTCTTCAATTCCGTAGGATGTTCACTGAACAAAGATGCAGGTATTCTCTGCAATATCGAGTCTCCTTTCTCATCTATCAAGCACAAGAGTATCCCAGCATTTATATTGCTCAAACTTGAGCCATACATGTTACTTGTCTCCAACCAAACCTTGTAAAATGCCCGAGCACCATTCAAGCCGGCCGATGAAATGATCTTTTCTTTCGAGGAGTCGGTACATACTTTTGGTTCTGTAGATGGCAAAAGACGTGACGGTTTCGCGAAGCCTTGAAAATCTGGAGTCAAAATGCTACATCAAACTCTCTAATAAACCTCAACTTTTCTTCTTACTATGATGGTGCCCTGATCTATATAATATATATATATATGGATAGATTAACCTAAACTAGTCTAAACATAAGCTGAAAATAGTTTTACATATTTACAGAACGCTTTATTCAATATATATTTGATTAATCCGACCATCCTTTCATCATTATATTCGTATAAATCATGCAAGTTAATTTTTTATTCAATTTAAAAATAATAATATTTTTTGTTCTAATGATGATTTTAGTCCTGTTAGTTTAGATATTTGTCGAATTAAAGCTTGTCCCCTCCGAATTTAAGCTTGAACAGTTATTTAGTCCCTGTTATCTTTGAATTTAGGTGATCTGACTATTTTATTGCCTAATTCTAACTCCATCCTGCCCATAGTTAAAATATATTGCTAAATTCATCACAACAGTTTAAAGAATAAAGTTTTAGGATTAAAAGAAAGTACCTTGAAAATCAGATTTCTTGTAAGAAGTGATGAACCGAAAGCGAAAACGAGCAGTCGGCGAGTGAAACGATGTTCTCGAATGAATTATTGGTGTAAATCTAAAGGGATTCCTTTGGTTCGTTGCAAAGATTGTGCGACTTACGGGAATCGACTCCATCGCCATTACCACCACCGTCTGTGTCCGGCTTTCTTCCAAAACCAGACTTTTCATTTATTTACGCATCGTCGTATCAATGATGGGCCTATTGGCTTTTCATGATCTTGGATTGGGCATGATTTAAAGTAGGCCCGAATCAAATAGCCAGCATGTCCAACACAATATTTGCTTGAAAGCCGGATTAAGATCAGGGATGGTTATTTTGTTTGAATACTCATACGACATTTTTAGTGTTCGAATTCGAGATTTCAAAAATAACAATAATTTTTTTATCATCGAAGGTTTAAGTTAAAAATTGAAATTTGAATTAGATTCAATTTCAGGTTTAAAGCGAAAAATCTTACATAATATTTTAATCTTATCTTATATACTTAGCGATAACTATAATCTATTTTAACCTTTTTAATTAAATTTTTATTTTATTAATAAAAAAATAAATATAAAGAATAATCTATATATTTAGTACTTTAACTATTTTTTTTATTTTATTTTGATTATCTAACTATTAATTTTTTAAAATCGTACTTAATATTACATTTTAGTTTTACTTTGGTCATATACCGATAAAAAATTAACAAAACTACTGATGCGACATTTTTTAAAAACTTTTTCAATGTTTATATTAACTTATAGTGACACATTAACATCATCGTTAATTTTTTAATAATAAGTTACTAAAATAAAATTAAAACATAACATTAATATGATTATAAAATAAAAAATAGTTCGTTGATAAAAATATAATAAAAGTGATACTTAAAGATTTAAATGTATAGTTACCCAAAAATAATTTATATAGTGAGATTAATGATAATAAATAAGAAAATATTTATGAAAAGAATAAATAGATTAGTGTAATTGTATTCAGGGTATATTATACAAATAGTCCTCAAACTTTTAGGATACTTACAATTTGGACACCCAACTTTTAAAACTTGCAATACAGTCATCAAACATTTAGCTCGTTTTCAGTAAGGTCCCTGTTGTTATCTTTGGTTAGTTAGGGCTGATGTGGCATGTTACCTCCGTTAACCTTCTTTTTCTTCCACCTCTTCTTCATCCTCTCCGTTAACCAGTAATCTATTTTTTGAGCCAACATCCAAAAATATTTGTTCAACAAATAAAATATTATCAGAGCATGTGTTGATCACTGTTGGTAAAAAATAGGCTGGACACAGTCCCAGGATCCCACCATGGGCTTTTATCATCAACAACTCATTTCCCTGCAAACATCCAATGCTTGATCAAAGCATTCATTTTGAATTCCAAGAAACATTCCTAATTGGCATTTCGTTGAGCTTCGACCAAACATCTACACTTGGAATACATAACAATCATCCCATTCCATAGCTTCTTGTCATGACGTTGAAGAAAACTATGTTCCTCTCAGTCATTTCATCGAATTCTCCGCAAGCTGCATAGGCCCACATCAATTTGATGGCTATAGATGGGTTGAAGCGAAGATGTTGGACATTGAATATCTTGGAATGGAGTTTTTTTTAATGTTCTGATATCTGGGTATTGGTCCAGCATCTTACCGCAGAAATATTCACTGAGAATACTCTATATTTTAGGAGCTTTGGCTGGTTTGTATTTCACTTACTGATCAGTTTGTTCACGAGAGGCTAACAGATGAGAGGTATAAAGCTGGGGTTACGGAGCTTTAGCAGCATATTAACAGTTTAGGGAATCTTGATGCTGTTACTTCGATGACTCATAAAGATGATACCAAGGTTAGAGCACCTGATTCCTCAAGAATTGCCTATGAAGATGAACCAAGACTTATGTTGTTAAGAGAGTGGAATTTATTTGATATAATGCTGTGCTCCTCATACATTGCTCCTAAGTTGAAGACCTGGAGTGATAATGGCATGAAGAAGCTTAAGCTTCTTCTTGCAAGGATGGGATTAGCACTTGTGGATTGCCAGCAGAAGTTCCAGTACATGAATCATGAAGTAAAACAGAAGATGAAAGATCAATTTTGAACAATATTTTCCCGAATACAGACTTAATGATTTCTACTACAAAACTTTCTTGCGTCTACATGGTTATACTTCAAGGGTTTCAGCAGCAATATGGTATATGGGGTTATTGCACTGCTTGAATCATTCATGCAATCGGGTGGCACGTGTGCTTTCGAAGCAGTTTGGGGCAACCTTTGGAGCAAGAACCTCGTAAAGGCGGCGGGGACTTTACAGAAGGTTCAGAGCCTCAGAGGGAAACAGAGAGTTAGTTGCGAGAAGAAAGGGTCGGCGGCGGTGATGTAGCCGACGTTAACGGAAGAGGAAGAGGAAGAGGAAGAGGAAAGAGGGAAAAGAAGAGGATTAACGGAAGAGGAATAAGAAAGTTAAAGGAGGTAACATGCCACGTCAGTCCTAAGTAACGGAAGGTAACGGCAGGGACTTGACTGAAACCGAACTAAATGTTTGATGATCATATTGAAATTTTTAAAAGTTTATTGACTAAAATGAAATAAACCTAAAATATAGGGGACTATTTGTATACTTTACCCTTGTATATAAATATATAAATGGAAAATTATTTAAATTTATTAATGTCAAATTTCAATAAATACTGGTTTCGCGATTCCTCTCGCTTTTCATGTAATATTTTTGCTTTACCTCTCTTAAAATTTAAAACCACGTCCTTTAAATTTAGGCCGTAGGGTGCTTACTGGATTCTCAACTCTTCATCGCTTAATCTTTGGATTTCGCATCTGGGTATTGCTAGTTGTTTAAAACATTAACCATATAAAACGTGTCTCTTTGGTGTTTTTCATCGAACAGGTGGTGAGAATTGCGGGTACAAGGCTCAACCGGATTGGGTATTTTAAATTTTCAGCCTTTAATCTTTTATGATTTCTGATGTTTTATAAGTTAATCGTTGATTGCGTCTTATATGCTTATAATTTGATGTTCAAGTGGTTTGAAGAATGCGGTTTAGGTGCTTTCAGAGTTGGAAAAAACCTAATATTGTTCGTGTAAATTTTGTGTGAAATATGAGCAGGATAGAGAAGAATTTTTCGTTGATTTTAGTGTTGCAATCTCGTAATTGATTCATAGATGCCCATGGAGAGGCTTATGTTACTGAGGAACGCATAACTAATTCTAGTTTGGTTGTTTTAGGGTTTGTTTACCTTTGTAAACTCTCTGGTGAGGCTTACGCCATAGACGAACCCAGGATAGTAAAGCCTGATTTGTGATTTTAGTAAACAAAACAGCGGTGTTAGAACCTCGGAATGACTTTAGAGTCAGAGTACTTATTCAATCTTGATCTAAAGATGATACTAAAATGGATGATGGATGACCTTTGCCGACTTGTATGATTTTTTTGTCTATCATTATGAACGGGCAGATTAGTCTTGTGGAAAGAGAAGAGTATCTTATAATTTTACAGAATGCTGAAAATCTATCGTTTAACTTGTATAATTTTTGGGATCTTGGTTTTGAAGTTGTATGATTAGCTTGATGCCCCGACCTTAATTGTTATCATTATATGTTGTATTGTGTTTCTAGGTTTTGTATTAGTGAGATTGATGGTTGACTTGCAATATGTTAGTCTTTCTTATTTCCTAAATTTCATTTCATTAAGCAGGCATGGATGAGCAATTCGTTCTTAGAGTTCCACCTTCCGTTGCTGAGCGCATAAATCTCCTTTTAAGTGAAAATGTTTCATCTTCCGAGGAAAAATCACTGGATTTGGAGATTTCTGGTTAGGATTTCACTTGATGATACATTTGAATGCCTCAGTAACTGTTGTGTATGTGTCAGCACCTTGTGTTTATCAGAACTTATACTGATTTTCCATGGAACACGTTACTAACCTTTAGTTTATTAAGCTAAACATCCGTGGTCTAACTTGTAATTACGCTTGATTTTGTCATTCAGTGATTGTATATATATATATATACCAAACCATAAATGATCCAACCATCCTGATAAAGTTCCTATTCGTGTCCTTAACAAGTGTATACTGCATTCAGCTTTATTATTTCCTTGGAGAAATATGATTTAGACCGCATCGATTAAGGTGGAGATGTGTTAAGTGATAATTGATTACCAAAAGTAAAGACTGAATCTATTATTCACATCATCTATGTTATTTTTTGGAATCATAAGATATTTATGAACATTAAGCTTCTCATTACTTTGCAGAGGATGGGCGGACTGGCACATTTGTCATTGGCAATGAACGTTTCCCCGCATCTCTCTTGGATCTACCTTGTGTTGTTGAATCATACAAAACATATGATGACAGTGCATTAGTTAAAACGGCTGATATCGGTCAAGTATGGTACTTGCTATTTTTTATTTGGATGCAGTCTCATGTATAATGGCTTCAGTTTTTGGTATGGTCATGTTAACTGAGATTGTTATAGATGATTTTGGTCAGGGAGTCTGGAGAAGCGTCTCCAGATGTGGTGGAATACAGACATGGTCTAACCCCTCCAATGAGGGATGCTCGGAAGCGAAGATTCCGAAGGGAGCCAGATCTAAATGTATCAATATACTTGCTTTTTTTAAAAATCTGTTTGTATGCACTTCTGAAAAAGAAAACTATCTGATACTGTACTGAAATATATGTTTACACGGACTCGGGTGTGAGTGCCTGATCCGAGTTTATGGGAATTACTTAGTCTCGGTGCAGGTACGGACAGTTTATTTCCCTTACTGATTCCCGTCACTTCATTTTTGCAGCCAGAGCTCGTACAACGTGTTGAAAAAGATTTGGTGAACATCATGTCTGGAGGGACAGTTGAAAATTTTGATATTCTTTCGATACATCTATTGTTTCTTTAGTTATTATCATCTTTGACACATCTCATTTCAGCATTGTCGTCGATCGAATAAAGATTCCATGTCCGAAAACCAAATCGTATAATTTTGTCCGGTCTTGAGTTGGTGAATGTATGATCTGTGTATTCTTGATACGGTTGTTTTTATGCCTTAATCGTGTTTTACATGCTGACGTCAACAGTCAGGGCGAAGCCGGTGATGAGAATGCTCGTAACACGAAT